TTCATGCTGAAATTGTGACGAGGGCATAGAAAACTAAAGCAACTGAAAAAAAGACAACAAAGACAGTTACTGACTCCAGGGAAAACAACGGCTCACACAGGGAAGAAGAGCAGTCGTAGTGTCAACCCTATCACAGTTACAGTCATGTAAACACAGACAGTGCAACAGTGTGCCTTCCAAGGCTGCCAGGGGGGCCATGCGGGGCGGCTCGAGACACCGACAGGGCGGCTAAGCAGGAACAAAGTGCAGCAGGATGGGGCTTACATTTAGCGCAGTGTTTTTCAAACTGCAGGTTATGCCTGTCAGTGAGTGTGAGCTGGAGTTAGTGGGCCGTAAATAGCATTTTTAATGAAATAGACGAGAACAGAAAACACCTGAGACAGCTGCAGTTACGAGAGAAGTATTGTATAAATTTCCAGTTGTGTGTGTGTGTGTACCAGGTAATGATGTCTTTTTTTCTTCTTCTTCTTCTTCTCCCTAAATCCCCCCAGTACATAGTTGTATATTTTAGTTGTGGGTCCTTCTAGTTGTGGCATGTGGGATGCCACCTCAGCATGGCTTTATGAGCGGTGCCATGTCCATGCCCAGGATCCAAACCAGAAAAACCCTGGGCCACCAAAGCAGAGTGCACAAACTTAACTGCTTGGCCACGGGGCTGGCCCCCTAAAATCTATTTCTTATTTTGAGTTTTGGGTCAAAAAAATCTGAAAATCACTAATTTAGAGCTATGAAAATAAATACCAAAAGACAGACTGCTTCCGGGAAAGGTGGTGTGGGAACAGGGAGAGACTTCTGTTTGCCTTAAGCATTATTGAACTATTAAACTATTTAGCCATGTATAGGCATAACTTTTATAAAAATAAAGTTTTTAAAAAATTAAATTTGAGAGTCAAACAGACTTAGAGTGAATCATGGCTTCTGAGTTACGTGACTGTGCGCAAGTCAATCTCCGTCCTTGAGGGTCCCAACTCACAAAACAGGGCTATTCACAGACTTGTTGTGAAATGAACTAACTCCTGTGAAGAACCCAGCATAATGCCTGTGGGGGAGGGGTCCACTCACACGTGTCAGTTATTATTATTAATTTTTTTAAAGCCTAATTCTTACTCTATGCTCCATCTCCCATACACTGTTTCTCAGAAAGCTGCTATAGAGTGTACTCCATGGAAAGAAGAGAATAAATCACAAGAGAAGGGAAGAATATGGCATTCCAGAAACGGGATCCAGCTGATAGGGCAAAGAGCATCCCAAGGAAGACCCCGCTGGTGCTAGAGAAGCCCCAGGGCAGCCAAGATGGGGGAGCCAGGAGGGTGGCTCCACATTAAGCATTACTTGCAAGAGTTGGACTGGGAGTTTTAAAATTCCATCATCAAGTTTGGGGCCGAGTTAGCGGTCACAGAAAAACGTGCAAAAGAAAAAATGAAATAGGAAAACAGTTGTACGAGAGAAGCCGTGTAACCGTGCTGTGAGGCTGTGTGAATGCTGTTGACACTGTGACGTGGCTACACCAGGAGGCCGGCAAGCACAGGACCCCATGGAGGAGCCAAGGCTGCCGCCCCGAAATGCACGTGGGTGGGTGGGCAGGAGCAGCTGTTTGTTACTAGCCTTATAGAACAACTTCATGTTGAGCCAGACACAATCCCATTTGGCTGGAAAATTAAAAAACAAAAACTGTAAACACAAAGTAATGAAATTAACAAGACCAACTGAAGTCAATGGGCCCCTCTTGGAGGGGAGACCCGTGTCTGACCTGGAGGACACGGTGGGTGATGGACATGCCTCAGCTAGGACATGCAGTAGCAGGAGGAGACACCTGTTCATGTAAAGGTCTTGGTGGCCTCTGGGGCCCCTCCAGCCACATGGAGCCTGGAGGTCAGCTGTCTCCACTCAACAGGACTCCAAGCTGGATTGGTCTCCTCTCCACACCACAGACTATCCACAAGGGGATGAGGCCAGCCCAGGCAGGTGAGGGTACAGGGCACAGGGTGCTGGATCACAGGGCAGGAGCCCCCACCCCATTGTACCTGACCCCTTGGCTCCCAATTTCACTCCACAAGGCACGTGCCCAGCCTGAGGGCTGAGGCCTCCCCTCCCCTTGGCCTCATGGAGCCTGCCAGCTGTGCTGCTGCCACAGTGGGTCTGAGGGCCTGGGGCGGCCCCACACTCCCAGGCCATCCCCTGCCCTGCTGGTCACCTGGGGGTCTGCAGCACTCCTTCTTCCCTCATCATTCAGGAGCAGTCCTCAAAACACACACCCCGCAGATGTGCCCAAATACACAGACCACCCTACACCGAAGACCCCAAACCTCCAGACGCCATTCAGACCACTGCCTACCTCGAAGTGGTGAAGTCTCAGCCACCCTGGACTCCAGCCCCAGCCCTGCCACTCGGCTGCCATGTGACCCCGGGTGAGGGACCCAATGCTGCAGGACTCAACTTCCTCATCTGAAAACAGCCTAGTAGTGCCCTGAGAGGCTGAAGTCAGCCTTGGACAGAATCTGCCTGCTAGGGGAGGGCCCATCACAGGCCAAAACCACATCACAGGGCAGCTCACGAGCCCCCACTCTGTCCCCCCACCTCTGCCCTGTTACTCAAGGGGTGCCCAGGCTAGAACAATGAGAGAGGACAGGGTGGATCCCCCATAGGGAAGGGGGGCAGCCTCTTGTGGCCTGGGAGGGGCTGCAAAGATAAAAATAAAACCCAAAAATTGCCTCCTGAGGTTGTGGTTGGGCCCCAAAGGCATCCAAGCCACACGCAAAGTGAGCTCTGCACACATGCAGCCTGGGCAGGGGCAGGGAGAGGAGGGCTGCTGGGTCTGGGCTGCAGAGCAGGAGAGGGAACAGGGGTTGAGGAGGCTGACTAGGTAGGGGCTGGGCTGGCTCAGGAGCTGACCCACCATGACCAATCACATCTGCAGCAGGGGTCTTGACCCCAGTCTGGGGTAACTGTTCTTAGGAAGGGGCTGCCCTGTGCACCATAGGGCACTTGGCAGCATCCCTGACCTCCACTCACTGCTCCAAGTACTGCCCCAACCACTGTGACAACCAAAAATGTCCCAGATGTGGCCGAGTGCCCAGTCCAGAACCACTGCTCTGGAGGAACCGCGAGGCCGAGCATCCTGGACCCCACAGGCAGCCTGCCTCCTGGGGCTCCCTCAGCTAGCACCCACCCAAGGGTAGAGGAGGCTGAAGCAGGTGCCCCAGCGCTGTGGCACTCCGCCAGCTGCAGCCTCTATGCATCTGGGTCTGCAGCTCCCTGCACAGGCCGGCATTACACCCCCAGAACTCACAGCCCAGCCAAGCTCCTGACAAAGTTTGTCTCCAGATGGTAACAACTTAGCATCCATTTCTCTCCCCACAGCCAAGGAAGGGCGGGGTGAGCCACAGGCAGCTACTGCAGTGGGGCTGGAGGAAATACCGGGAGCAGCTGCTCAGCAGCCATGGGTGCCAGCCAAGGGCTTGCCTGGCAGGCAGAAGCCCGCTGGGAAGCCCAGCGGAGCTGGGGCCAGACCTGGCACCAAAATGTCATGGTCCACTCCACCCCAGGGAGGCTCCACGGCTGAGGCCTTGGCCCTGGGACCCCTGCCCCACCTATAGCTCGAGAAACTGAGACCCGAGGATTCTGGTGACCCCAGCTAGGAGCCTTCTCAGGCGACACTGGCACGGGGCTCAAGTCTGCTGGTCTGACCACTGCCCCCTGGCGGCTGCCAGCAAGAGCAGGCCTGTGCCCTCAAGGGCCTCAGTTCCCCTCCAAGTCGTGGCCAGCTTCACCCTCCTCACAGTCCACCACAAGGCCCCTCCGTGAGCCCATCCCCCTGATGGACAGGGAGCCAGACGGGCCCAGTTGTTAGAAGCCTGCTTACCTGGCTGGCATGCAGGGAAGGCGCCCCGCCTGCACACTGAAGCAACGGGGGGTGGGGAAGGGAGATCAACACAACTTGGGGTGTCCCATGCCAGGGAAACTGCTGGGACACCAGGCTCAAGCCGCCCCCAGGGTCTGCCTAATTTGTGGGGAACTCAAGCCCAGACCCAGATGCATTTCCGCGACAACAGACGGAAGCCCCCACAGCCCTGGTGAGAAGTGCCGTGGGGGAGGAAGGACTACGGCGGCGGTGGCGGCGGCTCGGGAAAGCATCTTCCTCTCCCTCCTCTCAGTCACCACGCGCAGCACAGAGCTCAGCATGAGAACCAGCCTCAGGCACTCAGGCGCTCCAACCACGCTCCCCTTCCTGTGGCCTGCGTGCAGAGGCCCACGAGCCCCTCCAGGCCCTGCCATCCCCGATGATGTGTTCTTCTCCATCCAGGAGAAACCTGGAACCACTCGGGGTCTCTGGCTCACGTCAAGGCTCCAGCGCTTCTCCAGCTCCGGAAACAGCGCCCCTTCCTCAGCCAGCCCCAACTCACACCTGCCAGAGCACGTCCTCCAGGTCACCCCTTTCTGGTTGTCCCCAGGCCACCCCCACGCAGGGCCCCAGGAAGTGGCAGAGGCCAAGGAACCCACGGCAGGCCAGGGGTCCCCAGCCCCGGGTGAGCAGGACAGCTCAGAAGTCCAAGGGGCCTGCAGGACACCATCTATCATCTCCGGGGACACAGGGCCTTTCCCGCCTCCCCTCTCGTCCTCCCCCCGTCTCCCCAGTGAGGCCCTCCCTGACCCTATTCGTAAAACATAACCTAATCGCACCCCACCTCAGGCTGGACACTCCCCAGCTCCCTGGTGTTGTCCTTCGGCACTTTGGCCACTGTGTGTTCACTAAGAGGCCGCCTCCCGCAGTGGAACGCACAGGCCCTCAGGTCAGGGCAGGGCTCTACTCCCACAGCTCACGCACAGCGAGGCCTGTCATCCCCACAGGCGGCCCCACCAGGGCAAGGGCCAGCTCTGGAAAGACTGCCACCCTGCCACCCTGGGGCCCTCTGCCTCCTGTCACACCAGAGGCTGGCAGCAGGCTCCTTCCCGAGACAGCCCACAGCAGGCACAAGAAGGTCCAGGCCAAGGGGGACAGCTGAGTTCTCAGGGCATTTATTACAAGAGGCCGTCAGCAGTAACAGGCAAGGGAAACAGACCTAGACTCATTTGCCCTTCAGGTAGATCTTGGGGGTCTGCCAGCCAGGAGGGGCTTCCTTCAGGCCTGCCTTCAGCCAGATTCGCCTCAGGTCTCTCTCGAACTTGACCTGTGAGGGCACGGGAGGGACCACCAGCTGGTTGGTGCCACAGCCATGTGTTCTCAGCCACCTGGGCCGCCACCCCACACTCACCTGCTTCCGTTTCAAGCGTCCTTCCCGGACCTTCCGCCGCAGGAACCGCGTCCTCTTGACCAGCTTGCGGTACTTGTGATGATTCATCTTCCGCCGCCGGATCTTCAGTACATTTTTGCACTGCATCTGGGGTGCATCCCAGACCCCCTCACCCCCTTGCTCGGCCCCTTCCCCCATTTGGCTAGGTGGATGCTCATAAAGTTGGGCTGGAGCCACAGACCCTGGAACCCCAGCATCCAGTCTAGGCAGGAGGTAGCGAGTGGTCAGCCAGCTCTCCAGGGGGCTGATGGACATCTTCCTGGGGACCAGCATTTCCTCAAGCTCTAGCTGGACCCCACTGCCAGGGAGGGAGGCAACCCCACTTGGGCCTGCTGGCTGGGTGCTATAGCGGGCCCCACAGGCATGGTGGCCCAGCACCCCTGAGACAGAGCCGGGCCGACTGCAGCCTGCAGGAAACAAGACCACACAGTTACTGCTCTCAGGGTCACACCGCACGTGAGCACTGCCACCACCCCACCGGGCCTGATGGGGCTAGGACAGCCCACACCTTGCTCCTGGCCTGAATGCCACTGCATTCCAGGTCCAGGTTCCCCGTGACATGCTTACGAGGTCTGTGAGCCACGCCCCTGTCCTCGAGGTGGTGGTGGGGGGTGCTAAGGGCAGGTGGGCTGCTTGGCCCAGCATTCCTCATCCACGTGGGCATCCCCCCAACCCGCCACACGGCCTCACCTGCCCGGGGAACAACCCTGAGCAGCTGAGCAGTCAGGCGCCCCAAGAGCATGGTCAGTTGCGGGTGGGCACAGCACGGAGGCCGCAGGTGCTCAGGACAGCTGGAACACAGGGGTTGAAGTCACGCAGGGCAGCGGCCGGGACTCCGGTCTTGCCCACCCCACCCCGCCCCCTCTCCCCTCCCCCTCCTCACCCCTCCCTTTCCCCGCTGCCTCCTCCCGTCCTCCTCCTCTCCCCCTTCCCTCTCCCCTTCCCCCGTCCCCCTCCTCACCTGTCCCCGCCCCTTCCCCTCTCCCCCTCTCACACCTGTCCCTATCCCCCTTCCCCGTCCCCCTCCCCACCCCTGTCCCCCTCACCTCTGTCCCCGTCCCTCCCCCGCTCCCACCGCACCGCACACACGGCTCCTTCTCTAGATGACCAGCCTCGGCCCCACCCCGCACCTCCGGCCAGGTCACCACCCTCCCCGGGCCTCAGCCTCCCCTGAGGTGCCCACCACACGGGGCGGGGTCGACGCTCCCCGAACCTCCCCAGACGCGACCCGACCGGGAGACTCAAACCCACCATTCTCCCGCCGCGCTCAGGCACTTCCGGTCCGTCCCTCACCGGCTCCGCGTCGGCGCAGGCCCCGCCGGACCGAGAAAGCGACGGTTTCCGGCCAAGCAGCTGCCGGCCCCGCCCGCCTCTGACGGAAACACGAGAACTGCGGTTCCCTCAATCCTGAGAGCTGCCCTCTGCGCCTGCGCGGCCCGGCCCTGAGCGGCCTGGCCCTGGGCGGAAGTGGAGTTTCCGGGCTACGGAAGTGACATTATCCCAGCGACGGAAGTGGCCTTCTCCGAGCGACGGAAGGGGCGGGGCCCGGCCTCCCTCCACCACCGCTCCCGGGCCGGGAATGAGAGCCGGGCGCCGTCTGGAGGCTGCGGGGTAGCACCCGCCGCCCCGTCCCTGTGGCCGTCGCCTCCCGCCACTCTGCATCTAACGCAGAGAACACGACGCTTTTTGCGTGGGTGGACTTTTCCCGTTTTAAAGCAAACAAGCGCCCATCCTGTGCTTGTGGGAAGAAAAATCAGAAACTAGCTCTTCCGAGAACCCAAAGCAGCCTCCGTGGAGGGCTGGCCCGGCCGAGCTGCAGGGTCGCTCCCAGGGCGGGATCTGGGAGCACGTCTCCTCTCCAGCCGGAAAGGCCCCTGTCCGCTGAGGCCGGCTGGACGGACGGGACCAGCACGGACCTCAGCGCGCCTGGTAGGAGAGGGACGCAGGGGCTCTCCTCAGGGGCCAGCCCTGCAGGAGGGTCTCCCTCCAGTGCCGGCAGGCAGTGGCCAGGCCTGGTCATCCCAGGCCGCAGCCTGGCTAAGCGGCAGTGGAGGACAGGCCGGTGGGAGGGCAGACACCGCCCGCTCCGGGCCCAGCCCCACAGCCGAGGTCACGAGATGACGCTGTTCGGTACCTGCCGAGCGGCTGCTGGGGACCCACGTCTCCACGTTTCCTTGGTCTACTTCCAGGTCCACCGAAACCAGGAAGGTCACGTCCAGTTGCCTCACACCCACACACAGGTGCTGGTCTGGGGAGAGCGGACACTGGGACTGTGACAGGCCGCGAAAGCCCTCCGTTCTCAGAGCCCACGCAGGACCAAGAAACAGCCCAAGGCCCGCCCCGCGTACCTGTTCAGCACTCCGCGCGGGCACAGCCCCAGGTGCCTTGTTCTGCCCAACACACTCATGCCAGGGGCTACAAGCTAACGTGCCTTGGGCACAAGGGGACTTCAGGACCATTTTTTCCTTTTCAAACTCTCCCTTCTCTGCCACCAAGAAAGCAGCCTTTGTCAGAACACACAGACAACTCAGGCCCATCACAAGCCTTCGACAGAAGAGCCAGTGCACAGGAGCTCCATACAAAATGACACTTTAATGAGACCAGAGATGGCAGCACTAGAAGGGGCACCGCGGGCTGCGCGGTAACAAGCGAGCAGAATGATAAACTGCAAATTCCTTAATGTTCCAAATGTCCTGAGTAGAGAGATTTGTTTATTTAACCACATAAAATGCAGATATAGGAAACTTCTCTATTTAGGAGCTGGTGGCCTGCACTCAGCATCGCACGGATAAAAATATACGACTTTCAACACAGATCTAAATACCTTCACATTTTAAAAATCGGAATTCTCTACACAAGTTCTAAGCTGACAGAATTCAAGTTCTGAGTTTTCATATATAGCTTTAACTTGTATGAAACACATTTATTTACAATATGAATAGAGAATAAGGGACTATTAAGGCCATTTTCTCATTGTGAAACACTGCAAAATATGTACATACGTACAACCTAATATAGGCAAAGGTTTTAAAAGTCACTTTCTTGGTTTGACGTAATTGAGTATCAGTCCAGGAGAGGAGAGACAGCCTATCCTTAGCACCAAGCCACACCACCTGGACGTGCACGTCGGCTTCTGCATCCAACTGCCACAGGGCTGCTGCTGAGGTGGGCCCTGCACTGGATGAGTGTGCGCTGTGCCCAGGCCGGCCTAAAGGGCACCTCGCTGGCCTCTCGATTCCATCTCCAAATTCCTCACAAGGTCCAGAGTCCACAAACCATTTCCCAAAAAAGTCTCGCCACAGAGCCAGTGATGCCGAGGTGTGCATGCCAAAGGCTGAAGGGCAGCCCTCTGGGGCCCCCAAGCCTCACCTCCGGTGCCTGCTGTGCCCAGGGTGGTCTCGCTCGTAGCGATGGCTTGTTCGCTCGTAAGACCGCGAACGTTCTCGTCGCTGATCTCTATAGTAATGACTTTTTTTCTTATATTTTCCAGAACTATCCGCCCTCTCCCGTGAGCGGCTTCGAGAGCGGGAGGAGCTCCGGCTGCGAGACTTGTGTGGCTTCTGTGGGGGGTACTTGCAGTCCTTGGACTTTCGGTAGCTCCTCACCTTGGAGCCCTTGTAGGGAGCGCCTCGGTGCACCTGTCTCGGTGGGGAGTCACTCCGGCTCCGCGAGCGGCTCTGCGACTTGGACCCACCAGATGTTGAGCCGCTGTCACTTTTCCTGTGAGGAAGGACAGTACCACCAAGCGGGTGACCACCCACCCCAACCACCTCAGGGTCAGGAGTGACTGTCCCCTGTGGGGCAGCCTCATCACCTCTAGCCACCATGTGAAAACACCCACCCTGCCAGATGCAAGCCCCCCAGCCCCCACCCCAGTGAGCCCCGAGCAGCACATACCTCCTCTTAGGAGAAGCAGATCGCGATGGGGACCTTGAATAGCTCTGCTCACGACTTCGGCTCCGACTTCGACTCCCTCGCCCCTTTGGCAAGCTGAGAACAGGGTGAGGGCAGTTACAGACCCGCAGTCTCTCCAGCCAACCCCAACGGCCCGCTGGGCCACCTGGGTACTCACCCATTCACTGGGCTGTCAGCCTTGGCTTTCTTCACACCCTCCGTTTTCCTCTTGGCGTTCTTCACAGAGAGCGGGGAAGGCTTGTTTCCTTTACTGTCTTTGGGGGATTCTGCTAGAATCAAGCACAAGAAGTTAAAACCCAGCCATCAGAAAACTGTTGTGAGGGGCCGGCCCAGTGGTGCAGCAGTTAAGTTCATGTACTCCACTTCAGTGGCCCAGGGTTCACGGGTTCAGATCCTAGGCACAGACCTAGCACCGCTCATCAAGCCATGCTTTGGCAGAGTCCCACATAAAGTAGAGGAGGATTGGCACAGATGTTAACTCAGCGACAATCTTTCTCAAGCAGAAAGAGGAAGACTGGCACAGATGTTAGTTAGCTCAGCAACAATCTTCCTCGAGCAAAAAGAGAAAGATTGACAACAGATGTTAACTCAGGGACAATCTTCCTCACACACACAAAAGAAACAATTTCTGTTAAGAAACAAGTTAGTAAAGCAAGATAACGTCCCTTCTCTGGGACTGGTAAAGAACATGCCAATCCTAACTCCCTGATCCCAGCCTGAGCCTCACAACCTAGGCAGGGACCCCAGAGACAGAGAAGGCCACCTATCTCGCTTGCCTTCCCTCAGGGCCTGGAGACAGGCATCATGCTTAACTCTAGGATCTGACGACAATCTACTGCCCCAAATTTACAAAATTTTCATCAAAAGACAAGCTAATTGGGTAGGCTGGGTAAACAAAAGCATTTCAGAAAGCCTATCCATGTCCCTTGCTAATAAAAATACAACAATGATGAAAAGGAACTCCTTTAGGAGCCCTGTCTCATCTCGAAGATCACCAAGTGTTCACTGAGGACTGCTGCTTGCGAAGTGCTCAGAGCAGCTGCAGATGCAATTCCAAGAGAAATCTGGAGGAAAGGAGGGTCACCCTACAGGGAGCAGACTCGTGCACGCCGACACTCACCCAGCTTGGGGGCAGGTGAGAACCCTGAGGTGCTGTCCAGAACCTGAGTGCCACCAGGCAGCAGGCCCTTAGCCTGTGCCTTTGCCTCTTCAATGGCGTGCTTTCTCTTTTCTACTTCACTTTCCAAGTGTGTCAGATCAACCTACAAAAGCCAAAGTCCATCCATTCAGAACCAGATGATTCAGTCAAACACAAATGCAGATATTACGTGAAAAGACATAGAAGAACCTTTTTCCGAGTATAAAGCTGCAGGATTTTTAAGCAGATTTCTTGAATTTCTTCTTCAGTTGCTCCAAATAAAAGGAACCAATGGGGACGGTTGGGCAAAGGGATCTGTAAACAAACACCATCACTGTTAGACTTCTCTTCACGGATAATGAGACTCTTAGGGCAATGAAAACCAAGCCTACTGGGCAGCAAGTATGCATTTTATTGGCATGGATGAGCATAATCTGAATCTACTGGAGGCTGGATACAGAGACCAGACTCCCCTGTGTTGGCGAAGCACTGACCTCCAGCGTCCGGGCAGCGAGATAAATGCAGGCACAGGCGATGCTCTCAGGCTGGAACCTCACGAAAACATCTGTGCGAAGGCTGTCATTCATGTAATTCCTGAAAACCAAAAGCAGCAAGAATTACAAGGCCCTGGGCAATCCAGGAGCCCCGTCACGCCATCTAGATCGTCACTACTCCTGTAAGTAGTCTACTGCGAAAACTTAGGGCTAGACAGTCCTTGAAGCTCAAGAGTTCATGGAGAAACATTCTAGCTGCTGCTTCTGAATACAGGACAGGAAGACAGGGAAAGTATTGAAAAAAAATTTTAAAAGCTGGCTGAATGTCATACAATGCATGTTGCTATGAAAGAGAACCGACTTTAACTTTACTTTTCCCTCTCAACTTTTGGCCTGCTCTCATGCAAAGCACAACGCCTCAGGAAGAAAATCTCTACTGTAGTGTTAAAATGTATTTGATTAAAAGAATCTAAATGCTGAAAATCCGTAGTGCAGAGAAACATGCAAACTCAAATGCACTGGCTGAGCACAGAGCCTGTGAGAGCTTTTCTGAGACAAGTCGTCCTCTTGCGTGCATCTTCCTTGAAGAGGCGCTCACAGCCTGGGCCCTTCTTCATCCACGAAGGAGGCCACTTGGAAAGGGGGAAAACGCCCTTGGGTGCATGGGAACATCATGCAGAGGAAGGCTCAATGCCCAAAGGGAAGTCCTCTTCTCAGGCTTATCAAAGAATCGTTTCCAAATTGTCCCATTTCAACAAGGAGTCTTAAAATGAACATTCATAAAATCAGACAAAAGCAACAAAATAGTACACGTTTCATCGCAATCAGTACGTTTAAAAAGCTTTATCATACTTTAGAAGATATAAAAATACAAACATTTGCATTTTTTAAAAAGTTAAAAGGGTTTTAAAATTGGCTATTATTTTCAACATTTTTTTTTAGATCTATTTCTCTAAGATTTAATAGACCAAAATCAGACCTCATATTAACTTTATCAATGTTGCAGAAATAAAAGATTAATCCCATGAGAAAACAGTTGAATAAGTCATGTAGTTAGTGCTCCTAACATACCCCAATTATGGCAAGCCTCAGAGTCAGGCTGCATCCAGAGGGAGTCAAGTCATGCTGTGATTTGACGGTTACTCCCCACTTCCCACCCTGGTATCTTTGCCCTAAACACCCTGGAGAAGGTGACGGACCAACTCGCTCAGAGATTTCTCATTAAGAGATTGTACACGGGCTGACTGGGGCACCCGGCTCTGGAAGCTCGTGCTCCAGGCATCAGGAAGTAATCAAGGAAAAGCATGTGTAATGGCGCCAGGGCCACACGTCACGGAGCATTGCAAGTGAGGAGTTCAAACGTTTTATAAACATAACCATTATTAACTTTTTTGCTTCTACTAAAAAATTTTTACTACTCAAATAATGGTAACATTAATCCATTAACTTTTGAGGCCTAAAAACAAAACAAATGACGTCTTCAAAACATATATTTAAGCTTACTAGTATATTCGAAATAAATTACAATATAAAAAGTGTCCATGGAAAAATTTAAAGATGCACACCTTTTGGAAGAATGTGTCAACATTTAGCTGCTTTTCAGAGCAACTTTAGGACTTCCAGAAATAATGACATAATCCCACACTGAAGTCTGAATTCCCATCAGCCAATTCTTACAGCTTTCCATAGAATTTTTTTTAAACAGAAAGGTACTGCATCTTTATTGCACAAGTACAGCAGTTTCAAAGAAACAAAATTCAAGTCAAGACAGTTATCAACTCTAATCAATACAATTACCAAAGCACGACAGAGGATTAACAAGAAGCACAATCGTCAGAGAACCACAGCAGCAGTCGGCCAGCACTATACTATCGTGCGCATACCACCATCTAGAGCCAGCCTTCGGTGGAGAGCCTGCACTGGATTGGCTGAGGACGGCCGCTGTCCCTGCACCAAAGCGCTTGGACAGTAGAGGAGAAGTCTTAGTCACTTACCCTCAGAGGCTACCCTTTGATTGAAAGAGTACAGAAAAGAAAAGTCAAAATGGGTTCTCTATTAGACACAGCATAGCACCAGACAATTCAGGCAGCAAAAATGACCCTTACAGACTTAACTCCATGGAAAAAATTCACAAAGCACCCAGCACTGAACTGTTACTTCAGGCTTTGTTTCTAACACATACATTGTTCAGTCCCCACAATTGTAGAAAAACTTTATACCCCCTCTTTCTCCCACAGGATTCTCTTTAACAGTTAGAAGCAATTTCACAGGAGATGTAAGATCACTAAGTCCACATTGGCACCTACGGGAAAGATCCCGATGTGCCCATGTCAACAGCCCCCAAAGGGCAGCCCAGTGACTGCTCTCCTCAAGGGTCTGGGGAGGGTACGGGCCACCTTACCGTTACACCAGTGCCTGATATTTTGGTAGGCTGGTTCGAATTTACACGGCAGGAACACTGGGCACTCAGACAACTCCAGCCCACAACCAGGTCATGGGACTGACTACCCACTGCCCAAGTGCCTCAAACAACATACTCCTGCACTGCCCTTGCTGGCCTCATAAACAAAGAAGATCAACTTACCATGAGGTCTGGACCAGGTGTTGGTTACGCTCACACTCTAACACCTGAAGGTACATAACGATTATCTGGAAGATATGGGTCAGGCAGTTATTACCGAGAACCGTGAGAACCCAGCATTCAGATCTTGAGGGCATCCATGCAGCAAATAAGAGCCTCATGCTAGATCCCAGGAGTGGCCCCGGTCACACGCCCAGCATACTGCTCTGCTGCAGGGAGTTCTGCTGATGCGCCTGCTGCTGCTTTGCGGCCAGGCAGCACGCCACAGCGCACAGGGCCTCACTGTCCTCGGCGGCTACATGGCCAATTTTCATTCTTGAAGTCGCTACGTTTTCCACCAGTGAAAATGGCCTGCCCTGAACATCTCTGTACCCCAGTCACCAACTTACATCAAACACGGTGTGAAAATATTTTCAGCTCTTAAATTTATGGTGAGCAATTTACTGAGAATTTGAATTAATGCCAGAAAGTCAAACAAACAAGAAATGAGAAAACCGACTAACAAGGAGGTGAAAGCAAAGATGCAAATAGCACTCTTTTTTAAAAACAAGTTTTGTGTTTAAAGGTAACACAGAAAGTGCTGTGACATCGTATGGCAGCCACGCTCCTCAACTAATACATGCTGCAAAGCTGCTTTAGCTCATTTACAAACAAAAGGGTTAAGAGTTCTCCCACTTGCCCCATGAAAGGAAAGAAGGCTAGTGCTAAAGCAACTTTAGAAAATTAGCTGTTGAGAAAAGAAAATGTAAACTGGTACGTTCCGTTTTTACAAAAACAGAATAGTTTTCCCGATGAACGGAATAGTTCATCACTATTTCTGAAAGCTCAAACTTCAAGACACTGTTTCCAAAACTCTTAAAAAATCCCCTATTAACAGATAATACGAGAAAGCTAACGGATAGATTTATTTTCACGTTATAGATATAAACTGGAAAACCAAGTCAGGGACACATTTACTCCTCTTCAGTTTTCATCTCCGTGAGAGTGGAAGTGACCTGGGGCGCTCAAGTGGCAGCTGGGCCACATACCCACCTTGTGAGGGTGCTTCACATGGACGCAGAAACCCAGCTCTTTCAGAACTCTTCTTTCTGCCTTTATAATCTGGTTCTTTAAATTAACGTAATCTTGATCCAATAGCAGAGGCACAGGTTTCCTACAAAAACAAACCACACGGTCTGCACAGGGGCAAATACAACAAAGTCTTTCAAATCCCACGATTACCTCCCTGACGGTGAACATCCACCATGAACAGGACGACACAGATCTAGCCAGCAATTCACTTCGCTTCCTCTAACAAAACCACAAAGTCCTCCTCAAACCCCAAGGCTAACCTACCCAGCCCTTCTTGGTAACCCTCCCGCCTCTTCCTTACAGATACACAGGCCCCTGGCTGTCACGACTGAGGAAGGCGCTATGGGCACCTAGTGTAGAGAGGCCAGGACGCTGCTACACATCCTACAACGCACAGCACAGTCCCCACGACAAAGAATCATCCGGCCCCAGATGACGACCGTGCCCCAGTTGAGAGCCCAGCTCCAGAGCGTCCGGAGGCTGACAAGGGCGGATCAGGAAACCAGTGCCTGTCCTCCTCACTGGGGCCCCTTCACCCATCTCGCAGTGTCTGTCAGAGACCCACAGGCCCTCTTCGGGGAACCAAGTTAAAACCTCACATCCTGAACTTCGTTTCAGAAACGTTAGTGTAAATTAATAACCAGAGAAACGGGCACAAACATTTAGAAGACGTCTGACAAAAACCCACTTTTTCTCTCTCAAATGTCGAAGGCGATGAAAGACGTTGATGACGTCCCGTATCCGTCTTGGAGCTTCTTCTATTTTGGAGGCCAGATGAACACAGGCCATTGACACATGCTGAAATGTAAAGATTGCAACACAACGACGTTTATTCCACGTCTGAGGGTCTCCGACGGCTTAAGAAGGGCCACTAAGAGCAAAGAGAGGTGGGTGCGAAGAAGGCCACTCTACCGTCGGGGGGCTACCCAGCCCGTCAAGAACAGCGCCGACCAGGGCAGGCACTCCCTCCTCGGAGCGGCCCGCAAACCACCAAGCCCCACGGGGAGAAACGAGGAGGACGCCCTCACCTCCATGGAGTGCTTCACGAAGGACTTGGTGTAGAAGAACCGCTGGAACAATACCTGCCCGGTAGCCATGGCCACCTGGAAGAGAGAAGTTTCCGTCCCTGTTAGACGCACACGCAAGGCTTCGCCAAGGCGCCGGGTTTCCGGGCCCCGACCCAGAAGCGGACCCCGACACGTTACCGCGCGCACAAAGCCTCCCGCTGCCCGCCGCCTCCCCGCCCTCCCACCTCCGGGACGGGGGGCAGGGAGCGCGGGCCCGGGCGGGGACGAGGCCGGGTCGGGGTCGGGAGTCGGCGCCCCCGGCGCGGCGCGGCGGGTCCCGGGCCGAGGCTCGCGGCCGCGCCCCACCTGCGGCAAGCGGAGCAGGATGCCGGCCGCCTGGATGAGCTCGCAGCCCACCACGCGGAGGTCGGTCTCCGTGTCGGTGTCCAGGCCGCTCGACATGGACGGCGTGAAGCGGAGCTTGTCGTCGGGCAGCAGGCAGTTCTCCAGGGTGATGAGCACCCCGGAGTACAGCCGGTCCCCGATCAGCACGCCCTGGGACCCAGGGGCTGCGCTCCCCGAGCCTGGGGTACCGGCTGCTGCCGCGGGGGCTGCCGGCACTGGAGCCCCAGCAGCGGCCGTCGTCGCCGCCACCGCCGCCATTTTGTGCCGCCGACTCCCCTTCGGGCTCCTTCCCGGCAGGGCGGCTCCCGGCGACGCGCTACGGCCGCGCCCGCCCCGCCCCGCCGCGCGCCATTGGTTCGGCCGGCGGGCGTCCCGGCTCCACCTTGCCGCGATTGGCTAGACGTCCTGTCCGTCAGCGGCGCGGCCGACGCCGGAACCCGGCGCGAGCGGAGGCGGGCTCGTTACCCAGGAGGCCCTGCGGCACCCCGTCGAGGCCGCAGTCTCGGCCCTGACCCGGAAGCAGTGCTGCGGGTGCGGGCTCTGGGCGCCTGGTAGGGACCTGGCTTCCCGGCGCGGCCGCACCTTCAGCACGAAGTCCCGGGAGCTCGCGAGGTTTCCACTGCAGCCCCAAGGCTTCTTGGTGGGCCCGCGGGCGGTGGGCGGTGGGCGAGGGGCTGGGCGGGACGACCTTCCCCCGAGGGCGCGGGTGGCGGCTCTCCTTGCGCGGGGAGGGCGTCCTGCGCGCGGTGGCCCAGGCTTGCGGGGCGCAGGTCTCGGGGCCCGCGCAGGTGGATGGAGGGTGAGAGGATTGGCTCACGCGCTGGTGGGCTGTCCCCAGCGCGGCAGGACGAGATAGTGTTCGCCCTAGCCCGTGGAGCCGGCGCGGTGCTCATTCTCCAGTCCTTACCGAGGCCAGCTTTGGGGTGCCGATTGTAGCACCCGGTGCACGAAGCTCTTGCCTTTGGAACTGAGTCCACAGGCCAGTGAGGGGTTGCCTCAAACGCTGAATTCGCTGTGTCTACGAAGCCCCTGGCAGCACGGGGACAGACATGCGTTCCTCCGGGGACCGAGGGGAGAGCAGCCAGCCGGGATGCCCGGGCCGGGCAAGGGGCTTGGCCTCATCCCATAGACAGCTATTGCGGGGGGTACGCATTTGTGCGCCCTCCTGACCACTGCCCCTCCGTCTGCTCCTCCGGTGGCCTTTGTGTCACCTGATAGCAGAGTTGAACATCTGTACGAGGGGCAGTGCGGCATTGTCCGCTGCTGCACAGTTACCCCAGACTTTTACCAGGACCAGTGTGAGAACGCCGTGAGGGTGGTGTGAGAGCCTGAGAGAGGGGCAGGTGGCACAGGAGATCGTCCCCGACTCAAATTGCCGAGACTCAGAGGGCTCTACTGTCTTTCACTCCGTGTGAGATTTGATGCTGCAGCTCAAGCAGTGCCAACTAAGACCCAACCTCCCCTTTTCTCTTCTTGGCCTCCTGGGCATGGTAACAGTGCCCCATCTCCCCTGCCCCCAGCTGCAGCTCTCTGCTGGCTTACAGCAGCACCCTGTCCAGGAAAGGAGGAATTCCTCTTCCCTAGAAACCCCAGAAACAGCTTGTCTCTCACTGGCTCTGCCTGGGCTGCTTGTCCATCCCCTGACCAGAGGAGAGGGAAAAGCTGATGGCTCTAGCCAGTCAGGGCCATGGCACCCAGGCCCACAGGAAGGAAACTGGGGTCCTGTGTCAGAGGGGAAGTGGGTGCTGGGAGCAGCCACAGTTGTTTGCCACGCCCCCATCTTCCTTTCGTAAGAATGAAGAGGAGGCAGCTCTTCCACAGCAATGCATCACACAGAGAACTTGGTCTCACACACCAGAGGACTCTGCATTCTCCGCCTTGTCTATTCAGTAGCTATTTACTGACGAGTGACATGCATTGCACACTTTGTGCGCACAGTCAGGCACTGCACTGAGTGCAGCAAAAAGGACAGTAAGATTCGGCCACGCACCTCCAAATGCTTATGGTCCAGTGGCCATCACTGGACACAGTGACAAGGGCCAGGGGAAGGAGCCTCATGGGAGGCCAGCACAGTAACTAGAGCTGGAAGAGCCAGCTTACAGTGAGGATGGAGCAAAGTGACAGATTTGTGAGATGGCCAGGATTTGATTGGCTCCATATGCAGTTGGAGGTAGATATTGAGTCAGAAGAAAGGAACCTGGAATGACTTCCAGGGGACCACTGGCAAAGGATGGAGGGCGGTGTTGCCACAGGACCCAGCACCAGAGCATGGAGAGCGGGGCAGCTGTGCACTGGCAGGTAAATGCAGGAGTCATCAGCAAGCAGGCAGCAACTGCTGCTGTGCGTCTGAAGAGCTTTCCTGGAGTGAGTGTGCAGAAGGGTGAGCTGGTCAGGAGGGCAGGGACGGAGACGGTGCAGTGCCAGTGAGGAGGGAAGGGAGTGCATGGTCCTTGGGGTCAAGGGCCAACAGGATCTGTTGGACTTTGGTTTCAGGAGATGGCTTTGGTGAGAGCTCTTGCAGCCTGGTAGGGACCCAGTGACACGAGGTGTGAGGTGGCCGTGAGACGAAGGAGAGCAGACTCGAGAGTTGGAGGAGGCTGGAAATACAGATGGAAGAGGCTGAAGGTGGAGCCAGCTCCCTGAGAAGACAAAGAGCAAGACCTGGCCTTGAGTGGGAGGGTGGACACGACTTCCATTTCTGCCCAAGCAGCGGGTGGATGGGGGTGAAAGGGAGGCACAGGGTTGGTAGCCCTGTCAGTGCAGTGAGCTTTCTGAGACCTTCTTCCTGGGCTTGACTCTGGACTGACTGGAGTAGGGTATGTGGCAAGGGGCCCCAACCTTCATGTTAAGACCTCCCCAGATGATCCCATGGCTTCCCTGCCTTCTGCCCCCGCTGGGCTAAGAGTGGGGGAGACAGGGAAACAGGCTGGTGCTCAGAGTGGCTGAAGAGCTAAGCCACAAAGTCTCTGCTAGAAACAAGAGGAGGAGACGAGGGGAGGGGGCCTGGGTGTTGGACAGGCTACCCACAGAGCCCTGAGGGGAGCCAGGGTCAGAGTTCAGAGGCCTGGTGGAAACCCCCCAACTCGCAGGAAAGGATCTAAGGTTCCAAGAGGAAGTGCTTGCTCAGTTGACCCCTCACTCCAGCAGCCTCTCCCACTACCACAAGACCACAAGGTTGCTGACAAATGGCTGAAAACAAGCACCCCAGGTGCACTGTACCCAGGTGTGTTTGCTTGATGCCAGAGAGCACAGCTGGAAACGGTGAGAAGCACACAAGCTTTATTTGCACAATCTAGGGAGGTGTTCCCCAATCTGTCCCACTGAAAGAGGACAGGGTCTTTTCTCTCACACCGGCTACTGAAATATAAATTAACACAACTGCAAATCAAACTTACACACTGTCGACAAATAACTTTTCACCCTTATGTTGTTATAATCATCGGGAAAAAGCCTTTTTCTAAGACACTCAGCTGGAGAGGGCATGCGGCGTCAGTGTCCCCCTCAGTGGTACTGCACCACTCTGGAAAATATGCCTTCAGGCTCCTTCCCGTCCCCCAAGGCAGCAGCAAATCCTTCCTGTCGCCTCCTTTTGGCCAAAGCAGCCAAAGATTTAAAAGTCTTTGGTTCGTAGATGGCTAGATCTGCAAGCACTTTCCTGTTGAGCTCCACTTGGCACTGGGAAGAAAATCACAGCCTGTGTCAGCATCAGGGGGACATGGGAAGACCGCTGCCCTGAGCCCATACCATGGGAGCCCCTCCTGTGTGCAGAGCCACTCCACATGGCTCCCGGGCAGCCTCTACTCTCGACACACCATCTGTCCCGGGAAGGGGAGCGGGAGTGGTGAATTCTGTCCAAGCAGGGTGCTGGAGAATAAATGTGGACAAGGACAAAGCAAGGGCATCCCTGCAAGAGGTGACTGGGAAAGGAGGCTGGCATCCAGTCCTGGTGCTGGCCAGAGGACAAGGGCCTTGTTTAGGGTCAACAGTCATCACCCAGACGGTACTATGACTGTTGCCTTGGGGTAACCCTTTAAGTCAGCCTGCAAGAGGAGATCAAAGTTCCATTTTACAGGGGCCGGCCTGGTGGCGCAGCCGTTAAGTTCGCACATTCCGCTTTGGTGGCCCAGGGTTTGCCAATTGGCATCCTGAGTGCGGACATGGCACTGCTTGGCACGCCATGCTGTGCTAGGCATCCCACATATAAAGTAGAGGAAGATGGGCATGGATGTGAGCTCAGGGTCAGTCTTCCTCAGTAAAAAAAGAGGAGCATTGGCAACATATGTTAGCTCAGGGCTCATCTTTCTCCAAAAAAAAAAAGTTCCACTTTACAAACGATGAAATGGAACACTGAAAAGGTATGAAACACAAGGAGAAGAATGGGCCCTCCCCGTTCCCACAAGAGCCAGACCACACCATCCATCAGGCCAAATAGCAGATCACTTCCAAAGGCTGAGGAACAGTGCCAGTGAGCCTGAGGAGCAGAAGAGGTGTGGGGTGGTCTCCGTGCATTAAATGCAGCCACGCAGCCGGCGTGGATCCTGTTCTACCACCTGGGACCTGTGTCCTTGGGCAAAGTCCGTCTCCTTTCTGGGCCTCAGTTCCCCATCAGTAAAATGGGGCTGCACGCCCTCTACACTCACCCTGAAGATCTTTGTACAGCAGTAAAGACAGGGCCTGATACAAGGAGAAGCACAACACACACTCTCCTTCACTTTTTAAGGAAAAAGTTACATGCACACAAAAGCAGAGGGAATAGCATAATCAGCATGTTCAGCAATCCCCAAGCTTTTGTGACTCGTGCTTCATCCATCCAAAGACATTTCTCCCTCCCTTCTCACTGTATAAGTTTCAACTTTATCTGCTCCCTCACCAGGAATCATTCAACGTAAAAGCTTTCAAATTAAACTTTGCAGTTAAAGCCAAGTCTTTCCACCTTCTTCCCTTGATGGGGAAGCTCTCCAGAGCTCAGGCCTCGGTCCCAGCAGCAGGACAAGGGCCGAGCAAGTGTAGTGGGTCCCGGAATCTGCCAGACTCCCCCCCCCCCAACAGCAGCAGTGTCAGGGTGGTGACCCTGTCTGGTGCTGGGCCGGGCTCTGTGGGTGCTCAGCCGCACCTTAATTAAGTTGCCGACGAAGACCGGGTACTTGAGACCGTGCTCCTGGGAGGCAGCTGTGATCCGACGGATCCAGAGCTGAAATGAGAAGACATCGAGGTGCTGGAGAACTAGCTCTCCGGGTTACGTCAGCTCCCGCCAACAAAGCGCTGAGCGAACAGAGGGAATTTTGTAAACGAGACTAGAAAAGCCACCGGCTCCCGGCCCGCAGGCTCGCAGTGTAGACGCGGCACCCGCGCGGGAGAGGCAGCTGCCCGAGGGCAGGCACGCGCGGGGCGGAGCGCGGGGGCCAGACGGCCCGGAGGAAAGGGCAGGCCGGGAGCGGGACCTGGCCGGCGGCGGGCAGCCCGAGGTCCGGAAGCGCCGGGAGGCCGAGGCTGCTGGCGCTGCGGCCGATCGGGAAGGGCGAGAGCGGCGGCGGGAGCAACACGCGGAGCCGCGGGCGGCTTCCTCGCTCCTGCGGGTCTCCGGCGGGGACGCGCATCAGAACCGCCCGGGGCAGCGGAGTCCGCGCTCCGCTTCCGCGGGTGCGGGTCACGGGCGCAGACCCAGCACCGCTGGCCAGGCCCCGCGGCGGCGGCGACCCGCGCACGGACAGAGGACGGCGGGCACGGAGGTCAGCTCACGGACGAGCCTCCTCAGCAGAGGAGCTTTGCCAAGACGCAGGGTTCCCGCTCCGGAGGTGAGGGGCCCGGAACCTGCGCTCTCGCCAGCCCCCACGGCAGGCGGCGCGGCCTCTTCCCTCCCGAGAACGAGGCGCGGACCGCGACACGCGCCCAGGCCGGCGGCCCTGCCGACCGCAAGGCTCGGGAAGCCCTGCCTGCCCACGCAGGCAGGACGGACGCGGCGCCGCGCTCGAGGGCGGCGGCTGCTCCGGAGCCCGACCTCCCGGTGGCGCGGGGCGGGGAGAGCGGCCACCCGCCGGGCCCGGGACAGCTCGGGGACAGGCCGGCGCGACAAGCCGGTCCGGGGCGGGCCCGTCCTCCGCGTGACGGCGAGCCGCGCGGGGCGCCGAGAGGACGGGCGCGAGCGGCAGGGGCTGGGGGGCGCGCCGTGTCCCCGCCCGTCGCCCCCCGGCCCCCCGGGTCCCCCATCGTACCCCCGTCTTCCGCTCGTCCCCCGGCCCGCTCACCGTCCTCATGCTCCTCCTCTTCAGCCTGCGGGCTCGCGTGCATTTCACAAACGCTCTCGTCACAGCCCGCACGGCCAGCCGGTAGCACCGATTCTTCCTCCCCCGGAAGTGCCGCGCGTGCCTCAGCACCTCCTGGACCCGCCAGTAGCGGTCGGTGAGGCGGCTCCGCAGCCAGAGCGGCACCGTGAGGAAAACCATAGCGCCCGCGGCCACGGCCCCTAGACCACGCACGCGCCGCCGCCTCGTCGCAGCCGGCGGAAGCGGAGGGGCGTCCGGCGCTTCCGGGTCAGTGGCCGCCTGGGACTTCCAGGGCGCCGCGCGTGCGCCCGGGCACCTCCTCCCCGGCAGCCGCCCGCGGTTGTGCGCATGCCCCTGCGCGTGCGCGGTGGGCGGTGCCGAGCCCCTCCCCGCGGCGCCTAACCCGGAGGACCCCTCGGTCTGAATTGTATATGTACTGAATATATATATATACATATACTGAATTATAAGCAGAATACTAAAAAAGGCCCTATTGTAATTTACTTCTTATGTTCTTCAAAACTTTTTTTATTGAGTTTATAATAGTTTACAACATTATGAAATTTCGGTTGTACATTATTGTCTGTCACCATATAAGTGCTCCCCTTCCCCCTTTGTGCCCACCCCCCAGACCCCTTCCCCTGATAACCACTGAATTATTCTCTTTTTTCCGTGTGTGTGTTTATTTTCCACATATGAGTGAAATCGTACGGTGTTTGTCTTTCTCCGTCTGGCTTATTTCGCTTGACATAATACCCTCAAGGTCCACCCATGTTGTTGCGAATGGGACAATTTTGTCTTTTTTATGGCTGAGTAGTATTCCATTGTATATATATACCCCATCTTCTTTATCTACTCATGTGTGGATGGGCACTTGGGTTGCTTCCACTTCCTGGTTATAGTGAATAATGCTGCAATGAACATGGGGTTGCATAGGTCTCTTTGAATTGCTGACTTCAAGTTCTTTGGATAAATACCCAGTAGTGGGATGGCTGGATCGTATGGTAGTTCTATTTTTAATTTTTTGAGGAATCTCCATACTGTTTTCCATAGTGGCTGCACCAGTTTGCATTCCCACCAGCAGTGTATGAGGGTCCCCTCTCTCCACACCCTCGCCAACATTTGTTACTTTTAGTCTTAGTGATTATAGCCATTTTAACAGGTGTAAGGTGGTATCTTAGTGTAGTTTTGATTTGCATTTCCCTGATGATTAGTGATGTTGAACATGTTTTCATGTGCCTATTGCCACCTGTAAATCTTCTTTGGAAAAATGTTCATATCCTTTGCTAATTTTTTGATCAGGTTGGTTGTTTTATTGTTGTTCAGTTGTGTGAGTTCTTTATATATTTTGGAGATTAACTCCTTGTCAGATACATGATTTGTAAATATTTTCTCCCAGTTGGTGGGTTGTCTTTTCATTTTTTTTTTTTAAATTGGCACCTGAGCTAACAACTGTTGCCAATCTTTTTTTTCTTCCTGCTTTTTCTCCCCAAATCTCCCCAGTACATAGTTGTATATTTTAGTTGTGCGTCCTTCTAGTTGTGGCATGTGAGATGCCGCCTCAAGGTGACCCAACGAGCAGTGCCATATCCGCGCCCAGGATCCGAACCAGTGAAACCCTGGGCTGCCGAAGCAGAGCATGCGGACTTAACCACTCGGCCACGGGGCCAGCCCCTAGCTTTTTATTTTGATCCTGGTTTCCTTTGCCTTGCAAAAGCTCTTTAGTCTGATGAAGTCCCACGTGTTTATTTTTTCTTTTGTTTCCGTTGTCCGAGTAGACAGGGTATTCAAAAAGATCCTTCTAAGACCAATGTCAAAGAGTGTATTGCCAGTGGTTAAGTTTGCACGCTCCGCTTCAGCGGCCCAGGATTTTGCCAGTTCGGATCCTGGGCGTGGACCTAGCACTGCTTATCAGGCCATGCTAAGGCAGCATCCCACATAGCACAACTAGAAGGACCTGCAACTAAAATATACAATTATGTACTAGGGGGCTTTGGGGAGAAAAAGAAAAAAAAAAGATTGGCAACAGATGTTAGCTCAGGTGCCAATTTAAAAAAAAAAGTGTACTGCCTATATTTTCTTCTAGGAGTTTTATGGTTTCACGTCTTACCTTCAAGTCTTTTATCCATTTTGAGTTAATTTTTGTGTGTGGTGAAAGATGATGGTCTACTCTCATTCTTTTGCATGTGCCTGTCCAGTTTTCCCAACATCATTTATTGAAGAGACTTTCCTTTCTCCATTGTATGTTCTTAGAACTCTCACTTTTGAAAGATGAAATCTGTCCTGTAAAGCTGTTCTTTCAGAAAAATCAAATAATGGCAATGATTTTCTCCGAGGATACGGAGGTGGGCAGTCAGAGACAACGGTCCCTCTGTTTCAATTTTTAATTTATGGAGATGGCTGAGTGATGCCATTGAAAGAAGATTCTTATTACTCACATTTCATGCCATGCCCTGCAGGGCCACAGGGGAAGCAGCAGTGTCAGGAGGCGGAAGCAGGATCGAGGAAGCTCAGGCCAGAGCCTTTCCCAGGGTTCCCACAGGAAAGGCAAGGCAGGGCAGGAAACAGCTTAGGATTGGCTTGTTGGATAATCCCAGTGGGCCTTGGTGCATAGAGGCTGTCCCCAGGGGTCTGGTACCTGGCCCTGTGTGATTTGGGGCCGGGGCGGGGGGGACGTCAGCTGGAGGTGTGAGAGAGAAGGTGGCAGTTCAGAGTGTGGGCTCTGGATCACAGCGGAGATGTAAACAACGGTGGCCGTTAGTTTGACCCTGTAATTAATGGATGCCAATAGACAAATACTGGATCTAAGGAAACACAGAACGCTCCCACGTACAGAGCAAGCAGCTGAGAGTGACACCCCCATGGTGGACAAAGGGGAGACCATCAGGTTTTGGTCAAATCTATCACTACAACTCAGTCTCTCCACCAAAGAGTGTGGAGAAGCCTGGAGCTGTGGGGGTGATGGGCCCGCAGGAGTCAGTGGGGTAGTACCAGGGCCACAGGCCCGTTAGGGCTCGAGCCACTGCCTCCTTCTCCTCCAGGAACCTCTCAGCCATTCTCCTCTCTGCCCAGGCAGGCAGCCTCAGCTCAGAAGAGAGGAGCCTGACATACTCAGAAGGCTGTGGGAGCCAGGAGCTATCTTTCCTGCTCTGGCCATGTGGGCTCAACCCCACACTGAGACCCTCAGGGCCCCTGGGGCCCCTCTGTGCCCCTAGCACTCCACCTGCTCTCTGCAAAGGGTAGGCAGCGCCTGGGGCAGGCCCCCCTCAGACACCAGGTCCTGGGCCACCTCACCCCACTGTGTCCTCAGGGTGGGGTTGGCTCCTCGGCTCAGCAAAAGCTCTGTAGTAGGGCCATGGCCACGCTCCATGGCAAGGTGCAGAGGGGTCTTGTGGAGCCAACCAGCAGCATTGACCTTCGCACCCCAGTCCAGGAGGTGGCTGGCGACCTCCACATGGCCTCCACGAGCAGCGTGGTGCAGGGGTGTGAGGCCTAATGAGTCCCGAGCATCCACCTCTGCTCCCCAGGCTGCTAGCAGCTGGACGGCAGGCAGGTGTCCACTGGTGGCAGCCCTGTGGAGCGCAGAGCAACCATGCCTGTCCTTGAGGCTTGGGTCTGCTCCGTGGTCAAGCAGCACCTCCATGTCCTGGAAGAGGAGGGAAGAAGAGGGCAAGGGCCAGCCCTGGCCCAGGCCAGTGGGGTCTGTCTGCCCCAGGCCTCATCTGGCCTTGACATGAGCCTGTGCGTAAGGCACCCTAGAGGGGCTCTATTTGGAGACTTCCACTTGTCCCCCTAACCATCTTCAGATGAAATCCAAGACTTTGCAGCCCCTGTGCCCCTCCGTGCTGCCTGGGTGCTGGCTGGACTCAAGCACAGGCCTGGTGCTCAATAAATATTTGTTGCTACGGCCACTAGAATAAAGTCCAAATAACAGGCCAAGCATGTCATGTGTCATGTCCCATCCCATCCCCCTCGTCCCCAGGGCCTCCCCGCGTCCCCCTTCCATGAGCGGGTTAGCGAGAGCAAAGTAGCCGCCGGCCCCTCCTGGCCACCCTCCCACCCTGTGGCCTTGGGCGGAGAGTGCAGGCGCCTCCAGCCCCACCTACCCGAGGGGTCCACCCCGTTTGCGACCTCCCCGCAACTGGGTGGGGTAGGGTGGTGCAGCCCCGTCGCTTCGGGGGCTGGGTTGGGACGGGGACTGGGTTAGGACTTACCTGCCGGTGGCCCAGGCCAGCCGCGATGCCGAGCGCCGTGGCCCCCGCGCCGTCCCGGGCGTCCACCAGCGCCCCACGCGCCAGGAGGAGGCGCAGCGCCGCCGCGCGCCCGGCCGCGGCCGCCACGTTCAGGGCGCCGTCCAGGCCCGTGTCGCCGCTCGCCGCCAGCAGCTCGAGCACCGGCAGCCGGCCGCCCGCAGCCGCCCACTGCGCCGCCGTCCAGCCGCGCGCGTCTACCGCCGCGGGGTCCGGGCCCGGCGCGCTCAGCAGGCGCCGGGCCAGCAGCGTGCGGCCCAGCGCGGCGGCCCAGTGCAGCGGCGTGAGGCCTGCCCTGGAGCGCGCGGCCGCCGGGGCCCCGCGCCGCAGCAGCAGCTCGGCCACCAGCGAGTGACCGTGCCAGGCAGCCTCGTGCAGCGGCGTGCGCCCCTCGCGGTCCGCGGCTCCCACCGGGGCCCCGCGCTGCAGCAGGAGACGCACCAGGGGCACGTGGCCACGCAGCACGGCCAGGTGGAGTGGGGTCCTGCCGGCTTGGTCCCTGCGAGGTGAGCGAGGGCAGAGTGGGGACGGCCGAGGCCTGCCCCGCCCAGTGAAGCTCCCCTCCCTCCAGTAAGGAGGCCCGGGCCTGGGAAAGGGATCTGCTACCTTTGCCCATGAAGGAACCGTCTCCACCCCTCCCCACGGACCACAGTTCTGCCCACTCGCCCAGTGAAAGGACCCTGGCCTAGGGAAGGGAGCTGCTACCTTTCCCCATGAGGAGACTCCCCCCCCCCCCCCCCCCCCCCCCCCCCCCCCCCCCCGCCGCCCCACCTCCTCCCTCCCTGGTGAAGAGACCATGTCCTGCCCTGGGGCTCACCTCTCCTCCACACTGGCCCCTTGCTGCAGCAGCTGCGTGGCCAGGCCCACAGGACCCCTCCACACGGCCTGCAGCAGGCGCCCCCCGGCCTGTAGGACACTGGGCCCCTCTGTCTCAGCTCCCAGGGCCTCCTCCAAGCCCAGCTCCATCCACCGCAGTTCCTCTGTCAGGTCCTGCTCCCCCAGCTCAGAGCTCCCAGGGTCCATCTTGGAAGAATAGGAATCCTGCATGGATGCTGGAGGCCTCTGGCCAGCCCTGGCCCATGTGTCCCCAGGCCAATATGGACTCCTCATCTCCCAGGGGACCAGGCCACCACTTAGCCTTCTGAGGGGCTTGACTCCAGTTACCCCCAGAAGGAGTCTGCCCAGAGGCTCTGTCCTCTGGCTGGGGGTCCTCTCCATACCGGTCTTGGCTCAGCCACAGCCCAGTGGCCCTCTCATGACACTCCTTCTGAAGGCTGGAGCTGCAGCAGTGTGGGGGGTGGGGAGGCAGAGCTGCCACCTGGGCCAGGCTGCGGGCCACTTCCCCACCCTGTTTAACTTAAGGGGAGGCACTGCCTGCCAGCAGCCCCTGCCCCAGCACTCCTCCTCCCATGCCAACTGCCGGGGACCTGGCTTGGCCTCCCGCCCAGAGACAAAGGCCAGGAAGGCAGGAACATGCCCATGAACGGCAGCTCCTCCAAGGAGCACAGTCTTTGATGTGCCACAACTTGCCCCTGGGCAGACACCCACGTGACTCCTGAGGTGTCCCTCCCTCAGTCCTGCCCCTCACCCCTACTCCTGTCCCTGATGGCTAAGACCACCCAGGAGCTGGAGCCTGGCCTCTCTCCTGATTCCAGGCTGGGGAGGTGGGCATGGTGAGGTGGGTCCCTTCCCTTCCACGCAGATGGTGCAGGAGGACAGAGTATTCACCACGGACACCAGGCAGGTGACCTGCATCGGAGGGGGCATAGGAAATCCCTCGAGAGTAGGTTGAGGCAAGTCGGCAGAGGCTGTGAAGGGGCGGACCCCGGGGCAGCAGAAATGTTCAACTGCAAAGGGAGGGTTTTTACGAGAGAAACTGCATCTGGAGGTGGAAAAGTGATGCCGCCAGAGGGGCCTGAGCAAAGTCTCCAGTATGGGCCTCCTTGATTCTGGGACCCCGGGGCAGGGTGAGCCTGTGGGGGACTGGCCTTGAGGACGCCTTCCCATCCCCCAATCCCTGGGTAAGGCCACCTGTCCAGAGACAAGATGAAGAAGGAGGTGCGGCCAGCTCCTGCAGTCTCCCCACTGCAGTTGCCTCTTGTGACTGTCCACCAGGAGGCAGCACAGTTTTGGGGTGGTCACTCCCACCCCAGCCCTCCTCCAGCCCCGCAGGTTCCCGGGGATGAGGTATCCTGAGGGCCTTGCCCTGCCCGCTCCCCCCAGAGAGAGGCAGCAGAGCCTTGGCCCCTCCTCCACCTCCCTAAGAGAGCAGCCCTTCCAGGTGCCAGGCCCCAAGGGTGGGTCTCCAGGCAAGGGGCTGAGGGTCTCCATCCCACCCTCACACCACATGGACCCTCCCCCATGAGCCTCAGTCACTCTGTTCAGATGTCACCTCCCCAGAGAGATGCTCGAGCCTGACTCCCAAGCTGAAGCAACCTTGTCCGAGACCATTTTATTTCTTCTTAGCACTTACCACTCCGCGAAAGTACCTGTCTATTTTATTTTAAATGTCTGCCTCCCTCTTCTAGAATGAAAGCTCCACAAGGCACATCACACAGGCTGGCAGATTCAATGGCTAAAGAAGCAATGTGCTCTGGGTGGATTCTGTTTACTGCTTAAGTAGCCAGCAAAAGCAAGATGAGCAGAGATGTCAGCTCCCTGCATCTCTTGTTCCACAGGATGGCACTGAGATGAACAGAACCAGATGACAGGTGGCCCCGCGGGGCGTGGGCAACCTGTTGCTGAGGAGCCACTTCTGTGCTACGGCTGCACCCTGGGGGCGTGGTGGAACGTCCCACACCTCGTCAGAGCCATGGGAGCCTCATGACAGCCTCCTGGAAGGCAGGAGGCAGTGAGAGCCAGCTGTGTGGCCTGTCTTCCCATGTTCTTCCATAGCCTAAGGCATGGCAGCTTGCTCATGTGGCCTCTGTGGATTCGTGCCAGGCTGGCAGCGCGCCCGCGAGAGCCATCCCCTACAGGGCAGTGGCCTCTGCTGGCCTGACTCACCACTGAACCCAAGGGGTCTAGAGATGTGCCTGGCACACAGTGGGAGCTCAGTGAGTGTTTGTCGAATGAGCAAATGAATGAATGAGGGATCTGAGGACAGGGTGGGCTTAGAAAGGAGATACAGTAGGGATCCTCTCCATCTGAACTGTGTCTATCCAAACATTATCATTTGCAACATTTTCTACTCCAAATTCACTATCTGAATAAGTAAACAGCTACTGTAAGATGTTGGCCTGCGTGTGCCAGTGAAGACAGTTAAATTGTGTGTGCGCAGGGCAGCAGGGCTTGGCACGCACCGCAGGGGAGCCTCAGCCATTGTCCTGACAGGGCCTGTGCATGATTGCTGTCATCTTCCCCTTCCAACGTGTGTGAAGGGAGGTAGCGAGCTTGAGAGGCTAGGAGGATATCAGGAGAAGGTTGGGAGGGCGAAGCGAAGGGTGGGAACTGGTTCCCATTGGCTGCCTGCCGCACGGCCTCCTTCGTTCAGCTTGCAGATAACCAACTCAGTGTAAGCGTCAGCTGGTTACGTAAGTGGTGTTTGAAATGCCGTATGTCATGCAGGAAAACCCTAGTTGTTAGGAGGATTTTAGAAATATTTGGGGAAATTAGTTGGGGTTTTTAGAGGGGCTGGGAATGCTTCCCCTGACTTGAAATAACACAATACATCTTCCCACTGTTTTCAGGCTGGATTGGATTCTGAAACAAAGGATGCCAGGAATCGTACCTGCTGTTATTGAGTGCCTACTGTGTGCTGGGTCCTGCATCAAGTGTTTCACATGCATGCCCATGTGCCCTTTCACCCCTACAGTGTAGGCAGCCAGTATCTTGCCTTTTTTCCTGAGGCTGAGAGGGGGCAGGGCTGGAAACGAGGGGACCAGCAGGGGCCGGGGCTGGGAAGTGGAGTGGGTGGTGACCTCTACGTGGCAGCTAGTGATGGGGCAGTTGTCAGAGTCCAGACCTATGAAATGAAGTTGTCGCGTGTGGGATCTAGAAGCGGGAAGAGGGCGGGACCAGGAGAGAGGAGGGCTCTAATGCCGGGCCATATGGACAGCTGTGCAGGCCCTGACCAGGGCACTCAGGAACTGGCTGGAGAGGCTGGCCAGGGTGGGAGCTGTAGTCGCCTGGCACAGAGGTCCAGCCTGGCAGTGGGGGAAACTGAAGCAGGAGTGTGGCTCTGGAGACTGATGGTCGGGACTGGACCTACCTGGGCCAGGGTCCTGCCCTCCAACTAGGTCTACTATCCGGTTGCTGGGGTCTGCGTAGGGGGTCTGACCTGGGGACCTAGGGTTGACCCTTGGGGGCTTCAGGCCTGCCATCTAACCACCACTGTGAGCCTACCAGGCCCTCTGGCCAGGAGAACATGAGTAAGCAGGAGAGGGAGGCAGAGGAGGATGAGGGAGGGGGTGCTTCAGACACGACACCCATGCTGCCCCAAAGGCTTCCTGACCACCAGGCCTCAGCCCTGATGTGCCCAAGGTGGGCAGGCCTGGCCATCTGCAGCCTCAGGCCCCTGCTGCTGTGTGGCCGGGTGCTGGCCGGGCTGCTGTTCCACCTGCTGCTGCCCACGACCGTGTTCTTGCTGGTGCTGCTCCCGGCAGTGGCTGTCGTCTACCTGGGATTCCTGTGCCACTCAAGGGTGAGCTGAGCCCTCCGTGGGTGGAGGTGGGGGACTAGCTGGGGTTTCTGGGGAGTGGGGGTCCTGTAGAAGTTCAGGGTCCTGGGGCTGAAAGTGAAGCTTCCCCCTTCCAGCATGGCCCCTTTGTCCCCAGAGACACGTGTGCCCTCCCTGGAGAGCCCTTCTGCCAAGCCCCCCCACATGGCCGCAGCAAAAGAAGGGCTTTTGTTTGTCACCCGAGGGGACAGCTCCTCCCTCCCCTGAGGCCTCCCAGCCTTGTACCAGGGACCACCAGGGCCTGGACGGCTGGGTTGGGTAGGGAGAGGAGGGGTGTACTAGGAAGAGAAGATGAAGATATTGTCAAACCTCACCAGTCCACAGCCCTTTCCCACCCCTCACCCCCCCCCCCCCCGCCCCAGACAGCCCCTTGCAGACTCCTGCTGCCTTGGGCTGGGTTTCCCCCTGTGGAATGGGCTACGGCTTGGTCTGGGGCAGGGAGGATGTAGGCAGACAGGACCCCTTGTCCCTTTCTGTAGGCATAAGGCAGGGGAGAGGGACTGAACACAGGGCGGCAGAAGAGAAGGTGGCACCAGCTAGTGACAGCCATGGGCAGGGGCTCGAGGTCAGATGCCAGCATAGGGAAGGGCATGGGAGAGCAGAGTAGGGACGAAAGCAGGGGTCGGGAAACGGGGGTGTGGGGGGGGGCAGGAGGCAATTCTCTGAGCTTCCCTTCAAGGGACTCCCTACTAGTGTCATTTACTACCTGCGTCCCCCATCTCCTGTTCTCTACTCAGAAACTGGCCCACAGCCAGCCTCAGACACCTCACACTCTCAGCCCTCAGGCCGGGCCAAGCCCTGCCTGACCACCGGCCTGGCCCGGGTCCACCAGGCCCCGCCCCGCAATTGAGGCCCCACCCCCACTCCACTTGCTCATAGGCCCCATCCTTGGCCCCGCCCCGAGGCCTCTCCCTGCCCACCTGCTTCCTATTATACACCCCGCCCCATAGTTGAGACCCGGGTCCACCTTCTCCCAGGCCCCGCCCCGGTCCACCAGCTAACAGGCTCCGCCCCGGAATTGAGGCTCCGCCCCCAGGTCCACCTGCCCCGCCCCCGCCCCCCCACCCCACGCTCACACACACCTCGGCCCGGCCCCGCCCCGCCTGACCGCGCCCGGTCCCCAGGTCCACCCGGCACCCCGCCCCGCGTGCCGCGCGCTGCTCTCGGACCGCGGCTCGGCGGCGCTCATCGTGCTGGGCTTCCTCTCGCTGCCTCCGCTGCTCGTGCTCGCCTCGGCCGTCCGCGCCCGCCTGGCCCGGCGCCTCCGCCTGCTGCTGCCGCCCCCTCCTTGGAGCCCCGGACCCAGCCACCACCCAGGGTCCGGCAACGGGGGGCGGGCAGGACGCCCCACCGACGGGGAGGAGCAGCTCTGCGCCTGGATGTGACCCCTAGAGGCCTCTCCAAAGGACCCCGAGACCTCTGGATCCTGGGAGGCCCTAGCTCCCCTGTGACCCCCATAAGATGACCCCAGGCTGGCGAGCTCGGGGTCTGTGTCGGGATCCCGGCCCAGAAATCGCGTGCCTGCGGCGCGGCTCGATGCGCAGTGCTCCGAGCAGCCGCGAGATGGCACCGGACTCCCCCGCGCGGCGTCGGCCCTTCCCCACCCCCAGTACCCGCGCTGCGGGGAGGCTGCGGAGCCCGGGGGACGGGGAGATGGCTGTCAGAGCAGGGCGCGTGGCCGGGCTCAGAGAAAGCCGGCCTTCCTGGCTTCTGCTCCCAGCCTGAGAGCAGGTTAGAGTTCATCCTGCGACCGGTCAGGGCTCAGCCTGAGAGCAGGTTAGAGTTCATCCTGCGACCGGTCAGGGCTCAGCCTGAGAGCAGGTTAGAGTTCATCCTGCGACCGGTCAGGGCTCAGCTTGTGACGGGGTTAGCATTCAGATAGGCGCCGGAGTAAGGGCGCCGTCTGTTCTCTCCGGGTAATTTCAAGATCGTCTCTGTCTCTCGAGTTCTGTGGTTTTAAGCATGTTTGTAGCTGTGTGTGTGTTCTTATTTACCCGCTTGGTATACCCTGTGTTCTCTGTTTCCTCGGACTCATGTCTCTCATCACATCTGGAGAGTTCTCAGCCATTATCTCTTCAATTCCGTCTCATTCATTCTACTTGTTCTCTCTTGGGGACTCCTATGAAATGAAAGCTTTAGCTGTTTTCTCTACCTCCCGCATCAGTTCGTCTCTCTCTTGTGCTTCCCATCTCCTGTGTCTCTGTGCTGGGTTCTGGGCCATTTCTTCATCTCCCTTTTCCAGTTCACCAAATCATTGGCTGTGTCTAATCTGCTGATTAACTCTTCCATTTAACGTAATTATTATCATATCTAAAAGTTATACTTGCTTCTTATTTAAGTCTGATCATTTTTGATGCTCTCTTGGTGCATGCTCATTTTTTGGATTCCAGCTTCAATTTCTTGAACATTTCAATATATTTGAAAATATAGTTATTTTATATTCTATACCTAACAATTCCAGTTCCTTAGTCTTTGGGGGTCTAAGTCTGTTTTGTGTTGTTTCTGGTGATTCTCACTAATCACATATGGTTTCTTTGAACGTTTGCTCCTTTTTAATTGTCACCTGTTACCTGTGAACGTTCTGAGGGTGCATCCCTGCAGGGGCCCTCCTGTGTGAGGAAGGGGTCCTGGTGTCGTAAGTGCCTGCGCAAAGGGCCCATGCTTGTTTCCTGGACTGCAGTGTGGCCAGTATGGCTCTCTATCCCCGTGTCCAGGGAATTCAGGAATTCTCTGCTTTCCCATGTTTCCCTCATCATCCTGGGTGTCTGCTCACTATTCTTCAATTTTTTACTTATTTATTTATTTTTAATGCTTAATTTTGGGGGGACCTTGGAGATATTTACTTCCTTGTAATCCCAGCAGTGTATTAAAAATGTCCATATGTTGGGGCCAGCCCTGTGGCACAGTGGTTAAGTTCCCTGCGCTCCGCTTTGGCAGCCTACGTCCATGGGTTTAGCTCCCAGGCACAGACTTACACCATTCATTAGCCATGTTATGGCAACAACCTGCATATAAAGTGGAGGAAGATTGGCATGTATATTAGCTCAGGGCTGATCTTTCTCAAGCAAAAAGAGGATGATTGACAACAGACGTTAACTCAGGGCTAATTTTCCTCACCAAAAAAAAACAAAAAACAAGTGTGTGTTTGCTGTAATTCGTGCAGAATCTAGTGATAGCTGAAAGGCTTTTCAAAGCATCCTGCACACCATATTCCCAGCATGGCTCTGCCTGTGACTGGCAGGGTCAGGGCTCAGACATGCCCAAAGGTTATGGCTCAGGGTTCAGGACATGACCAGACTCAGGGCTCACTCCATGGCCTTGAACAGAGCCCGGTGTGTGGCTGGCTCGGGCCCAGCAGGAGTTCTCGGTGGTTTCCAGTCGTCTGCCCTGTCAGACAGGAGTCTGGCTGGCTGCCTCGTGCCCAAGAAGAGCTTCCCCCTGTTCAAGGCCGCCTTCCTTCCCCTTCTGCCCGGGGCTGGGCAGGCTCTGGCCAGGCGTTAAGTATGAGGACTCTCGTGAGGATTCGCCTGGCCCCGGAGTCATCAAAACAACAGCTGGGCCTGGTGGGGGTGGGGAGGCCGTGGTGGGAGCTCAGCTGCCCCAGCCAGTGGTTCCTAAGGTATGTCCCAGCTTCCCAGGCTGGCGCTGACGCCCTGCATGGCCTCCAGCTGACCCTAGGGGCGACCTGCCTCCGCCCCAGCTCTGCCCCACCAGCTCACAGGAGGAACACCTGCCAGGGGGCAGGGGCTGTGGGAGGTTCACAGAAGGGGCCTAGTGGTCTGCCCTTAGGGGGCCAGCTGTCAGAGAAGTCAGGAACATCAGGGCGAGGTGCTGAGCAACTGAGGGGCCAGACAGAGACCCCCCACCTTGGGCAGGAAGGCTCTCTCCCCAGGTGCCCCTGCCCCATGGGAGCATACCCGGCCATGGGGCCTCCAGGGTGCGTGTGCGTGCATGTGTGCATCCCGTCTCCTTCCCCTCACGCCCTGGGTGAGGGTGAGTCCTGACCCCACAGCTGTGGACACTGGGCTCTGCAAGGGTTCCTGGCCTGCCCAAGGCCATTTATTCATTCACAAGTGTTTTCTGAGAGCTCAGGTGACCGCAGGCACACCTTCAGACAGCAGTGAGCAGCTAGGAGGTGTCCAGGGAATTTAGCCAGTTCCTTCCCCCCAGCCTGTCCCCTAGGTGTGAGCCCTGTCCCCACCCGGGTATGTGGGCTGGGCAAGGGGTGCTGCACAGGGACTGAGCTGCCGTGGGTGCGCTGGGTAGCAACAGGCAGAGCCCAGCGCTGGCTCTGAGAGCTAAGTCTCTTTCCACTGCCCCCTGTGTCCCACCCCTCCTGCTGGGGAGCCCACCCACCAAGGTGTTGACACAGGTCTGTCTCTCCCTGCTCTCTCCTTCCCCATCCAAGCCCACCTGGACCCTGCGTGGGGCAGGGGCAGGTGCATGGGTCATGTCCCAGATACAGAGGTTCTGGCAGAGGGAACCGAAGCTAAGGTTCCCACCTAGGGAGGGGCACCTGTTCAGAGTCCTGCACAGGCTGAAAACCCAGGAGTGATCTGGACACCTGCATTCCTCTCTGCCTCCCACCCCCTGCCTCCCATTAGGTTGTACCTCTGACGGCGAGGCCTGGCCTCAGCCCCCACCCTGCCCCTGCACATGCCACCAGTCCTTACCTCCCCTGAGAAGTCCCTACAGCCTGCCCTCATCCTTTCTGCCCCCCAGACCTCCTTACTGTCCTCACACACACCGGCCTGCCCCCACCCCGCCGTCTTGGCACTTCCTGCAGCTCCTGACCACCTGGTCTGACATGGCCCCACCCTCCATGGGGAAAATAAGTAGATAAGCAACTTTGCAAGCCACTGCCCATCCCCCTTCCAGCCTGGCTGTGCTGGGAGGACAGGGCTCTGCCTGGTGCCTGGGTGTCCCCAGTGCAGAATCTGGCCTGTGGCTGGGCCCAGCACAGAGATGATGGACAAACGCAGACAGGATGGCACCCCATGCCCAGGCTGCCCACCCCACCAGCTGCCTTCCCTGCCACCCTGGCTGTTGCCAGCAGGGGGACTGCGTAGGATCAGCTCTGGGGCCACGGCGGGCAGGCCTGGGCTCCTGGGGCGTGAGATGACGGGACCTCTAGATCCCCAGGACCAGTCCTCAGGCCCTAGTGTGTCCCTGACCACAAACAGGCAGGTCGAGTCTAGAAGAATGTGTGGGTGGGGCAGCTGGGTGGATGGTGGAAGGGGCCTCTGGGCCCTGCTGCTCTTGGCTGCCCCCTCCCTCTGCCCCACTTCTTGTTGTTGGGGTGTGGTCAGAGGGCCTCAGCTCACCCAACAACCTAGCCCCAGGCCCATGGGAGCCACCACTCTTCCTGTTTCTGTGTGCCCCCCGCGTGTGCACGGGTGTATGTGTGAAAAACAGCAGCACACAGCACCCTGAAGGGTGGGGGTGGGGCCCAGGCTGCTCTGCCCCTCAGGCCAAGAGTGCCCTTGCTGGGGTCACGGGTGGGGTCAGAGGCTCGGGGAGTTGCCCTTTTCCCTGGGGTCAGCATGACCACAGCGAGCTGGGGACAAAAGGCCCTTCATCTCTGCAGAGGCCTGGACTGTGCGGAGGAGGGAGCGCCCTGCAGACCGGGTGGGGCAGGGGCGGCGCCCATGGAGCAGTGTGCCTGGGGTTCTGGGAACCCCCTCCACCTGCCTGTGGACTGACGGGCAGGGTGGGCCAGCTCCAGGAAGTGATGCTTAGGGACTACTGGACTGGGCCAAGGCTGCGGAGACAGAACCACCTCAGCACGCAGGCAGCTCCTTCCTCTTGGTCTCCAGGACGCCAGGACCAGGCAGGGCTGGGCTGGGGGAGGGACAGCCTGGGGCCAGGGCCCACTGTGTCCTGGCTGCTCGGTCCTTCCCTGGCCACTTGGCCCCCTGGCCTGTCTTCCTTCAGAGAGGTTTCCGGAGCGTTATATTTGTGCTTCCTTAGTGTCTGCCTCAAGTCCAGCCCTGGCGTGACCACTGCACCTCTGGCTGACCCCATGTTCCTCCCAGACCCTTCATCTGCCCAGTCTCCCCTCAGGGGGTCCAGGACACAGCAATAAGACTTCCCATGATGTTGACAGTGGGGGCAGTGTGGCTGGCTAGGCCACAGGGCAGAGCAGGGGGCCAGGAGAGCAGAGCTGGGGGCGGGGGGCATGGGAGTCCCCCAGGGGTCAGGCAAGAGCTGAGCATGAGCAGCAGGAGTGACTCTGGGCAGAGCTGATCAGGAACTCTGGGCCAGGGCAGGTGGCCTAGCTCACCCAAGGCTGGGTAGAGGCCCTGGCTGACCACTCCTGAGGCTGGGCCTCCCGTGATTTCTCCCACTGATGGAGAGGCTAGAGAGAGGAGAGTGGCTGCTTCCTCGAGGGCCTGAGTCACAGCCAAGAAGACCTGCTCAGTTTTTCCAGAAGGGACGGAAACTTCCCTGTCAGCCCAGCAGTGTAGGCTGAGGTGTGACTGTGGGCCTGCCTGCCGGGCAGAACTGGGGGACAAGCAGGGGAGCTGCTGTCTTGCCACAGGGCGGATCCACCATGCCCAGCTCCCTGCCCAGGGCAGGTGGGTGCCCAGGGAGATGGAGGATGAACCAAGAAATGTTTGCACGTGTCTACCTGGGCGTGCCTCTCCTAGGGCTCCCTGGGTCACCTCCCGCTGGACCCCGGGGCCTCCTGCAGCTGCTGCCGCCTCCCCCATGGCCTCTTCTCACAGTCCCCATCCCCACAGCAGCCCTGGTCAGCCTTGTGTGCTGGGGGGGCTGGGGGCCAGGTGAGACCCCTCTGGCGGCACACCCTGGACTTTGCGGGCCCAACCCATTGCTCCCCCCACGGGGCCCAGGCGGAAGCACCAGGCATTTTCTGGTCCCAGCCGAGGCCCGAGGTCTGTGGAGCTGAGCCAGCATCGCCACTGCCAAGATTCCCTGCGAGGGGGTGGGGGCGGCGGGACACAGTTCCTGCTTGTTCCTGCCCCAGCTCCTCAGGCTCCGCTGAGCCGCTTCCTTTTTTAGGCAAAGTCGGAGCTCCAGCCTGCGGCTCTCACCTTCCAGAAAGGGAGGAAGGAAAGCCATTGAGTCCCATCCGTCTCTGAGCATCCTCTTGAGGAGGGGGGAGGGAGAGGACATCCTGGCAGAGATGCCTTGCTGCCTCGCCCTGGGGACCTGTGCCCCTCAGCTATGCAGAGAAGAGTGGCTGGGAGAGGACAGTGGTCACCCCAAAGGAAGGAGTCTTAGGAGTGAGGTCCAGGAGAGCCCCCAGGAGAGTGAGGGCTCTCCTGGACCTCAGCTCCTGTCCAGGGGACACTACCCCACCTCACCTAAGGGCAGGGAATCTGCCCTGGGGGACTGAGTGCCCTTTGGGATGCCCCCTGTAGCCAGCCATCTCTGGTCTGGCCTCATCAAGATCCCAGGATGCAAGGCTCCTGGCTCACCAGGGGCCCCTCCAGAGGGTGTTCCCTCCAGAGGGTGTCCCCAGTGGGCTGCTGGGGGTCTATCCTTGGTCCCGTGTTGGACCTCAGCCCTGGTCCTGGGCCCCTCACTGGGCGGGGTGTATATGAGCAGCAATAGGCCCAGCATGGTCACACTGGACAGGGCCTGAACCAGCCATCCCCTCCTCTTATGGCTCTTCCTCCAAGAAGCCAAGTGGGAGGGGGCTTTGTGTCCCCCAAGAAGCTCCCCCTCAAGTGTCTCAGGCTTCTGTTCCCTCCCAATGCCCTTCGTCCTAAGTTCGGCCCTTCCAATCTCTGTTGGTCCGTCCTTGGGGGCACATGTCCCAGACCCTCGACACCTACCCCTCCCTCAGCCCTGTGGCTGAGCCAAGCCCAGGGCCGGAGCCTTGCGGAGGAGGCTGTTCTTGGTGTCACCCCCACCAAGGTCCTCTGGAGCCTGGCTTCAGGGACTCCCAGCACTGCGGAGCCACGGGCAGTGGGCCTGGGGATGACCCAGCTTGGTGGCTCCCGGCTCCCCGCTGGCTGGGGGCAGGGGGCAGGGCGGACCCTACGACCCCACAGCCCCACAGCTAGCCAGGGAGCATGCAGCGCGTGTGTGCGTGCACGCCAGCGCGTCGCTGCGCGTCTTGGTCCCTCCGTGTGCGCGCCTCCCCGGAGGCTGTGCGTCTCGGCACGCGGGGCGAGCGCGCCGGGGCGGGGCCTCGCGGGGGCGGGCCCTTTGGGGGCGGAGCCTCCGGGGGCGGGGCCCGGGCCGGCCGCGCGGCGGCGCGCCCTGCAGCTCCGGAGCGAGCGAGCGGCGAGCGCAGGCCGAGGGCGCCCGTCCTGTCGCGCGCGATGCTGCCCTGGACGGCGCTCAGCCTGGCCCTGAGCCTGCGGCTGGCGCTGGCGCGGAGCGGCGCGGAGCGTGGTGAGTGCGGCGGGGCCAGGCGGGGCTCCGGCTCCCGCGCCCCCTCCACCCCCGCCGCCTGCGCGGGCCGTCGCTCCCCTCCCGCGGCCACGGAGCGGGGCGGGGCGGCCGGCGGTGCACCCCACCCACCTGCGGAGGGCGGACCCAGGTGCCCCAGGCGGCTCCACCGAGCGCCGGGGCGTGGAGGCCGCCGTTTGCCCCCACCCCGGCATCTGTGGGCGATCGTGGGCCCTGGCCCAGGACGGGGAAGTGTCCGTCGGGGGTCTGTCCCTGCCTCAGGTTCCCTCTCCTGGGAATGACCCTTAGTAGAAGGATGGTAACAAGGTTGGAGTCCCCCCACCGGATTAGAGGAAACTGAGGCCGTAAGGCCCAACCAGAACCGAGACACCCCAGCCCGCGTCTGCCCGTAGCCCAGTGGTGGAGGGGCCCATATGCCCCCCAGGGTGCCAGGAGGAAGGGGAGGCCCAGTAGGGGCTGCTGCAGCAGATCACCTGCCTCCGGGGTCCAGATGGAGCAGAGGATGGGGGCCAGGGGAGGGGTGACGTCATCTGTAAGTGGGGTCACGACTCCAGCCAGGCCATCTGGGCTGTGGGAGGGGCTGTGATCACTGCTGTGTCTTCCCTGTCCCTCCACCTCTGCCCCCAGTCTTCCCAGCTGCTTTGCACCCCGCCCCCCCTCCCCCAGTTGCCTCACCTGAGGCTGAGCTGTGTGGCTGAAGTCCCCCCTGGGGGCTGCTTCTCTGGATGTCGAGCCTGAGCGAGCAGCCCCGGTGGCCCAGGTCTGTCAAACCACCACTCTTGGGGGCTGGGCCAAGACCATTGGTGTCTGCTGAGGAAAGGGAGGGTGTGGGGGTTTGGAGGGGTCAGCTCTCCTTTATAAATGAGACATGAGCCCAGAGAGCGCCCCAGGTACATGGCGAGGGTGCAGAGCTGGAACCCTCTCCCCCACCCTGGGGTGCCCCTCCCAGGGCCTTTGGGTTGGGACCCAGCGGGCTTTCAGGGCCTACGTGGATGAGGGCAAGCGCCAGCTCAGGGAAAGCTTGGGCCCTGGGGGTTCTGCCCTGGGTGTGGGCTGTCTGGAGGCCACCACCTGAGGCTGAACCCTTCCCCTTTCCCCCAGGCCCCCCAGCATCTGCCCCCCAGGGGGACCTGCTGTTTCTGTTGGACAGCTCGGCCAGTGTGTCTCACTATGAGTTTTCCCGAGTTCGGGAGTTTTTGGGGCAGCTGGCAGCCCCACTGCCCCTGGGCCCTGAGGCCCTGCGTGCCAGCCTGGTGCATGTGGGCAGCTGGCCGCACACCGAGTTCCCCTTCAACCAGCACAGCTCAGGCGCGGCTGTCCAGGATGCCATCCGTGCTGCAACCCAGCGCATGGGCGACACCAACACTGGCCTGGCACTGGCATACGCCAAGGAGCAGCTATTTGCCGAAGAGGCCGGTGCCCGGCCCGGGGTGCCCAAGGTGCTGGTGTGGGTAACAGACGGCGGCTCCAGCGACCCCATGGGGCCCCCCATGCAGGAGCTGAAGGACCTGGGTGTTACCATCTTCATTGTCAGCACTGGCCGTGGCAACCTCCTGGAGCTGTCAGCCGCTGCCTCGGCCCCCGCTGAGAAGCACCTGCACTTTGTTGATGTGGACGACCTGCACATCATTGCCCAGGAGCTGAGGGGCTCCATTCTTGGTAGGTGGGAGGAAGCAGGGCCTGGGGGGAACCTAGGAGGAGAGCTGGGGTGACTTCAGGAGGGACTCATTGCCTGGAACAGGGGTCAGGGCTGCGGGACTGCGGTGCTCCCCAGGGGTCAGTGGGGAGGTTATGCGCACACAGCTTCTCCTTGCATTCTCCAGGGACACATTCCAACCGTGCGCCCCACTACCTGGGCTGTGGTGGACAGAGGGGCTGGCCTGAGTAAACATCCCAGGTGGAGTTCTCTGCTGATGGGCCCAGACCAGAGCTGGAGGCTCACGGAGCGGGGAGCCTGGTCTGGGCTGAGGGACTCAAGGGCTGCCCTGGTGGGATGTTGCTAAGTGTAGAGGAAGAGCAAGGAGGTTCCAAGCCTGAGGACTCTGCAGATGGGCAGCACTCGCTCCTGGACCTGTGCTGGGCCACCACACCTGGAGAGGGGAGAGCCAGGGGGTAGGAAGGGCTGAGATTTCCTGACAGAGAACTCGGGCCCCACTGCTCGGGGGTGAGGATAGCCACAGAAGAGTTTGAGTGGGTTTGTGCTGCGGGCGGTTGTAGGGATTGCTGGAGAGGCGGCCGGACAAGGGAGGGACTAGTAGCTTGCCACTGGCTTTCTTCTGGACCTCCTCATCCCCCTAAACCAAACCCCGCAGGGGGAGGGACTGGAGATGATGGGCCTGGTCACTGGCTCAGCCTGCTGTGGCCACTGAAAAATGCCACTAACCCCAGGGTTCTTCCCCAGTCTCCGCCGTGGGTTAATCATTCACCCGAAACTGGGAGGGGTTGGATGGTGGGTGGGAGGGGGTAGAGGATCCTTCTGAAGATTTCCCCCAGGGACCTGGTCCCTGGTGGTCCCTGGGTCAATCACTGTGGCTGAGCTTGGAGGGGATAGCAGGAGAAAAGGCAAGCAGCTGGAAGAGAATGACCCAGGCTGCTGGGCAGTGAGGCAGTAGGATGGGGACTCCTGGGGTTGAGGGTGGGGTGTAAGTGTGGGGCATGGGCAGGAGAGTGAGTGCCAGGCTGCAGCTGGGGCACTAGGCACTAACGGAGGAAGCACCAGGATCCCAGACATTTATCAGCCTGACATTTATCAGCCGTGTGGTACTTGGTGTCACAGGCTCAGGAGTAACACATGTTTGGGGCTCCCTCTGGAGTGCCCCCCACCACACTCTCCTGGGGACCTGAGGCACGCAGCATCCTGCTGAACCCCAAGTCTAGCTGCTCCTGGAGTTGTCACAACTCCACCACCCTTCAGGGCGTCCTGAGTGGCCTCCCATTTCCTGGCTGCACCATTGGCCTCCCTTTGCCTTGACTGTCCAGAGCTGACCTGAACCCAGATCCTGTGCTGGCCATTCAGGCTGGGCAGGGGGCTAGTTCTCTGTTCTTAGACACCATCTTCGGCCCTGCCACCTTTGAGGGGTCATTGTCCAGGCCACTGGACTGGCTAGGTGGTGGCTACTATAGTTCCTCACTGGTTTGGGTTTGGGGTGTGGGCAGACAGGGAAGCTCCTGATGGGGCCTGTGTTGGGGCCTGCACTTGAGTCTCGTCCTCCCCTCCCCCCCAATCACCAGTTTGCATATCATTAGCATCTGTTCGGGGCGTGTAGAGGCTGGCCTGCCTGCCCAGCTCCTAGACCCTGCATCTCCCTGGCCAGGTGGCCCTTACCCCTGCCTCCGACCCCAGGGTCTTCCCTGAGTCAATGGTCAGGGCCCCAGGCCTGGGCACAAGGAGGCGACCTCCGTTCCCTGACCACCTGCACCCCCCGCAGATGCCATGCAGCCGCAGCGCCTCCACGCCTCTGAGGTCACGTCCAGCGGCTTCCGCCTGGCCTGGCCGCCCCTGCTGACCGCTGACTCGGGCTACTATGTGTTGGAGCTGGCGCCCAGCGCCAAGCCGGTGACTGCGCGCCGCCAGCAGCTGCCTGGGAACACCACCGGCTGGGCCTGGACTGGCCTCGACCCCGACACGGACTACGACGTGGCGCTGGTGCCCGAGTCCAACGTGCGCCTCGTGAGGCCGCAGCACCTGCGGGTGCGCACACTGCCGGGTGAGGCGGGGTCGGGGCGCATGTGGGGCGCGGGGCAGGGGCGCGGGGCTGGGTCGGGCGTGCGGGGCGGAGGCGCGGGGCTGGGCCCCCAGCTCACGGGCGCTTCCCCCGCAGAGGAGGCCGGGCCGGAGCGCATCGTCATCTCGCACGCCCGGCCGCGCAGCCTGCGGGTGAGCTGGGCCCCGGCGCTGGGCCCGGCCGCCGCGCTCGGCTACCACGTGCAGTTTGGGCCGCTGCGGGGCGGCGCGGCGCAGCGCGTGGAGGTGCCCGCGGGACGCAACAGCACCACGCTGCAGGGCCTGGCGCCCGGCACCGCCTACCTGGTGACCGTGACGGCGGCCTTCCGCTCCGGCCGCGAGAGGGCGCTGTCGGCCAAGGCCTGCACGCCCGACGGCGAGCGCAGCCGCGCCCCGCGACCCCCGCCGCCGGGATCCGGGGGCCGCGAGCCGTGAGCCGGCCGCCCCCGCCCACCCGAGGGCCCCCTTCTCCCGAGCCCGCCGCCGAAACCCAGGTCTTGCCCGGGGGGTGGGGGTGCTGGCCGAGCCTGACGCCCTAGTCCTCCTCCGCGGCCGGAGGGCTCCCTGCTCGGGCGTCTGCCATCCAGGCGGGCCTCGCCTAACTCCCGGCCGGACCCTCCGCTGCAGCCCTGGCAGCAGCGCGTGCCGTCTCGACCCCTCCCCTGCCTGGCCCAGAGCTGGGCACTCGGTGGTATCTTTTGGGCAGGATTCAGTGGGAGATGGACAGGAAGTCTGGGGGGCGGGTTGAGAACATAAGCCCCAGGACTGGCCCTGGGCCCAGGAGCGGAGAAAGGCCCTTATGTGAAAGGCCAGTCGCTCTGGTGGCAACGGCTGGCATTGGTTCGAGGGAGCGTGGTCCGGCTGGACGCTGAGTCCCCATGGCCACTTAAGTCTTGGATGCCGATAGAAGGTGGATGAGGAAGGGGAGGAGCTGGCTCTGGCCAGGTCCCTAAGGCTTCCTGGAGGGGAGAGGATTTGGGAAAGGGCAGGGAGGAGTGCTGGGAGGTTGATGGTGTGGTCAGTGGCTGAGTGGGTGGAAAGGCAGTCTTCCTGCCCAGGACTCTGATGGAGCCAGCTACAGCCACCTGGGATGCAGATGACACCTTTGGGAGGAACGGGACCAGAGCCTGGCATTCAGGACCCTGGAGACAGGAGAGCTCCTTGCCCCTGCTGGGCCCTAAGGCCAGCACTGGCAGAGAGACTTGCCTGCTTCTGGGGTGGGGGGAGGGCAACAAACAAGGTTCTCCTGGGTGAGTTCACCCCAGCGATTCTCTGCAGCATCTTCTGATCCCACCTTCTGTCACTACGGACTATCCTGGGGCCACCAGACAAGTCCCAAGGGCATGCAGCACTGCTGCCCCTCAGCCCCACCAGGCACGTCCACCTCTGCCTGCACCAGCTCAGTGCTCACTTTGCCCCCTCCCCACTAACATCCCAGACTTTACAATACAGTAAATCAGATGTAAGCTGAGCCCTGCAGTCTCCTTAGAGTGCTTTACTCCTTGTTGAAACACACTAGCCTGTGAAAGGTCTCTGGTGGAGGACCGATGGTGCCCTGGCTGGTGCCGGGGAAGCAGAGGGGGAGCCGTCCTCCCGCCGCCAGGATGCACACCACCATGCCTCCTGTGGCCCCCTGTGCACCTCCTCAAGGACCCAGGCCGGTTTCTGTGGACCAGGACTCTGGTTTGGACCGCAGTTACTGGAACGCTTGGACAGCTCGCCTGGCTCTGCAGGGCTGCCCCCAGCACAGCCTTGCGCCCAGGGTGCCCTCTGCTGGCAAGACCCCCTCAACTGCAGCTTGACTCTCCACTGGCCCGGCTAGTGGGAAACAGAGCCCCTGCTCCAGGCAACTGCAGGGAGAGAGGTGCTCTTGGGGCCCCTGACACATTCTCAGTCTGCTCGGGCTTGGCAGGCGTGTGTGCCACGTGTGTGCAGGGGCAGCCTTCGAGCCAGCTGGCCTGCTGCCGTTTCCCAAGAGGCTGACTCTGAGCATCGTCAGGGCCCTGCCCAGGGGCCCAAGGCCAGCACCCCCACTAGCTCAGCGTGCTGGGCGTTTTGGGGGTCAGCTGTGCCTAAGCCCAGGGTTTGCCTATGTGACAATGGCAAAGAGACAAACTCACCCTGCCTGTGTGAGCAGAGTGGGAATGGGGGCCAGGGCCTCAGGGGCAGATGGCAGGGTGTGGCCAGGCCAAATTCGGTGGGGGGGCCACAGCTGAGTGAGTGTTGGGTTTCTTCTCCTTCCCCCCACCCCCGACCCCCTCAAGTCAAGCCCAGGAAAGCCTGAGTGGGACTGTGGCCTGTGTGGCCACTGCATGTTTCTCTTTACACCTGACAAGTGGTCAGCAGGCAGCTGACTTCAGCCTGGGACTTGGGCCTGATCTGCCCCCAAGGGGCAGAATGCCCCTAAGCAGGGCTGTGTCCCCCACCCCAGTTCCCTGGGTGCTCAGTGGTCCAAGCCCATTAGCCACTCGGATGGGTCCCCCGCCGACACTGAGCCCCGGGCCAGGCTTGTGGAGCACCATGCAGGTAGTGGGAGAAAAAGCACGAGAGTGCTGGTGGGTCCTTTCCTGACAGCGCAGCCACACACTCTAGACAAGCTTAGTGGTGAGCTCCTTCCCCCGAAACACGCCCTCAATCCCTGGAGAGGGCAGAGCAGCTGGAAGGCACACGCCCCCAGCCCCTGGAGAAGGCTCTGGCTTTACTTCATCTCTGCTGGATGCTGAGGCCCACTGAGAGGAGCCCCCACACCCATCTCCAGCCAAGGAAACCCTCTCCTGGAAGCCCTTATCGCCGAAGCCCTGCCCCTGGCATCGTCCCAGGCAATTTTTAAAGGTCCTTGAGTCTGCGCCCCATCTGGGAACATTCTCCAGGAAACAATTTTGTCCTGGTCCCCCCTGCACACTCCACCTCCCCTGACCTGCAGGCCCTGACTCCTCGGTGTACTCTGGGTCTGGGGCCGAGGCTGAGGCCTGCCAGGACTGACATGCCACTTCACAAGGCAACCAAGAACTTCCCGACACATACCTGGAAATCAGAAAGGGCTGTGCTGTGGTTGCTCGTGGTCGAGGCAAGAAAAGCAAGAGGTTGTGATCTGCGGGGCAGGCAGGCAGACGTCCACATGGCAGGACAGGGTGGGACCGGGAAGAGCCTGGACACCATGGGGGGACCCCAGGAGGAGGGGACTCCAAGGGGAGGCTCCTGTGCAGCACGGGGGTGAGGGTGGCCGCCCACTTGGCAGCTCTCACATCCGCTGGCTCTCACACCCCGCGAGGGAAGGGCTGCTGCTGCCATCCCTCATTTGACGGGGAGAACTCTGAGGCTTTCGCCAAGGCTGCGCCTCACTTGGTCCTGCATGGGGCTCACCTGACGGAGGGGGAGCCGCGAGGGCCAGGTTCCGGCTTTCCAGCTCTGCCAGCTCTCGGATGAAAGCTGTCTGTGAGAAGGCGGGAGGCTGGCAGGGTATGGCGTCAAGGTCTCCAGGAAGTGGGGCATCCACCAGTGGGTAGTGCAGCCAGTTGGTGACTCGAGCACGAGCTGTTTCCATGGTGACGGTAATAAATGTCAAGTCCAGAAGCACAGCCCCACGTGGGGACACGTGAGTCCTCATGGCCTCCTGCTGGGGAGAGGGGACGGTTTAGGAAAATCGAAGCTCAAGTGTGACAGCTGTATGTTTGCCCCTTTTTTCTGGGATGAAAAATTTTCTTCCAACATCCATTAAAACAACAATAAGAAATGCCAGTGGAAGTGCTGTCTCCCCTTAGAGGTGACGGTGGTAAGATGGGGGCACAAGGGAGACCCTGCCCCTTGGGTGGGAGGTGGACCCAGCCCCAGCAACAGAGAGGAGGCGGTGGAGGGTGCTCCTGGCTGCCAGCCCTGGGCAGGGGGCTCTTGAGCCGGCTGCCATTCTCAGGAAGGTGGAGGGCTGAGGTCTCCTGGGTGGGGTTTGGGGCATCCCTTATTCACTGACACATTTCTCACTAGGAATTAAAACACCTGCAACTAACTGCCCACGTTTCAGAAATGTGGGTGAACACATCCATGACAAATTACATCATCTTATCCATAGATGTTGAAAACTTTGCGGGAAGAAGAACCCTGTCCCCAGCAGGTGTGGGGAGAGGCACAGGGAGGGAGAGCAGTGGGTGGCCAGCGGCCTGCCTGAGGTCCTGACCACAGCATCCGCAGGAGTGGAGGCCAGGACCCACCCGGCTCTGGTGTCACACGTGGGTGCACAGCACTGTCCAGGGGAAGAGGTGAGAGCCATGAGCTTCTCAACTCACCACACAGCTGGAGCCCTGGCCAGCTCCTGCTCCCACTGCCTCTTCTACTGCAGGGCCAGCCCCTGCTGGACACCAAGGCGCGCCAGGCAGGACTGGGTTGCACCTCCTTGCAGGGCCGCTCCCACAGGCACCCACTTACAGCCCCTCGCAGAGAATGCCAGGGCTCCCTCAGTGGCCATGGGGTTTGAGCGACCGTTGCTTCTGAGGTCTGTCCAGACTGCAGCTGATGCTGCTTTTCTCTCGGGAAGGCGGAGGCCCTGGCTCAGCTCTGCCAAGGGCAGGACTGCATCTCCTGTCATCAGTGGGGGTGGGCAGGCGGCTGAGTGCCTGTGCTAAGAGCCCCCCACCCTGCGTGCCCCTAGGAGTGCACAGCTCTTTGGGGTTCACTTCTTGGTCTCTGGGGACAGCCTGGCTGTGCTGACTTTCTGCTGGGTAGATCTGCAGGTCCAACTGGGGGCGGGGGTGGGGGGGCTCTGTGGGTCAGAGGACAGTGGAGTGGGGCATCCGAGTACACAACTGCTTACCTAAACGCAAAGACCACGTGGGAAGACAAAGCTGGAGGGGCAGCAAGCTTTGGGCTGGGTCCTGTCACTCTCCAGTCCTGGGCCCAAGGCAGCATGTGTCCTAGGGCTCAGCGTTGCTACCCCTCAGACCTCTCCTTAACCTCCAGGGCCATGGGGAGGAGCTGCAGGGCCCTATGGAGAACTGGGAGCCCTGCTTTGGTGGGCAGGGTGGGGACCAGCATCCTGGGGCCCCAGGCCTGGGAGGGCCGGGCCAGGGCCTGCCCAGTGGGGGTAGGCGTGGGGTGCATGAGGGCTGGGGCGACTGCAAGGGAGATGGAACCCAGCAGGTCCTTTTGGAAGCTGGAGAGAAAGAACAGGAACGGGAGGGGCCCAGCCGGCTGAGGGAGAGGGACCAGCCCCTCATTCCTGAAGCCCTTGCTGTCTTAGGAGAGTGAGACCAAAGAGTGATACAGGGGGCAGCAGCGGCCTCAGGCCCATCACGTGAGAGACTCCGAGTTTTAAGTGGACAGGCTTCTGCACAGGCATCATCCATGGGAGACACCAGGCAGGTGGCCTAGACAGCTGCTGCAGCCCTGGTGCCAGGAAGCCCTGGGGCTGGGCCTCGGGGGCCAGATGGAAGGATACAGCTCTGGTGTGCTGCGCAGCTCCTAGAGGTCTGGCCAGATGGGGGCACTCAGAAACCATATCTGCTGCCCAGGCTCTGAGGGCAGAGCGCGCTGCACTTGGCCTGGGTGGGGCCCACTTTGCTCCTGCTGGCCTGGGCTCCCAGGGACAGCAATGTCTCCCCTCTCTGGGCCCAAGGTCAGGCTGGAGGCCAAGCTGTCCACCTGCATCTTTAACCTCTGCAGTCTCTCCTCCAGGTCTTCAATGCGGGATGACTCCCTCAGAGAAGAAAATCGTGCTGTGGGGAGGGGGGATGTTGGAGGAATCCCTTCAGCAAAATGGCTCAGCAGGAGCAGCAGAGAACCCCACATTTGTCAATTAAACGTGAATGCATCAGGTAGGAAGCATCATCGTAATTCCCTTTTACTAAGTCAGTGTCTTTAGGAAAGGCGTGTCTGTCCTCCCCAATGGCTTCCAGTCTAAGATTTTAAGTGACAAGCACAAGCAGACCGGGCATTTGGCATGGTCCATCGGAAATTGGAAAGTGCGGACCATGTTGCTTGGATTAGGGAGACTGGAGGGAACCCTTCCAGGGGGAGGGCAAGCAATTACCCAAATCTTAAACACTTTCTGTTTTTTAAATTAAGCCAAGTTAAGTAAAACTGACTCCCCCCCAAAAAAGTAACTTTTTAAATGCAGAGCTTTATTTTCAAATTTATTCCTTTTTATATAAAAGTACACAAGTTTGCCAAATGCCAGCCTTCGGATGACGCTAGAGAGGGGCATGTGGCTGAGCTGCTTGTGGACAAGGACTTCACGCCTCTCACCCATTTCCTCTTCTTTACCCAGCCAAGCCCTGCCAGGGTGCTGTGGGAGGTGTGGTTTGCATCTAATCCATAAAATCTTGATGATGGCCACTGGGGGGCATCTGGCTGGGAAACGCATGTGGTTTTTCTCATGTGAGAAAAAAAATCACAGACAAAATTATCTTAGAATTAAATTTTCTTCCTATTTTTATTCAGGCTTAAAATTGTTCCCAATCTAGTGAGGAAACTCCATATAATTCTGGGAACTCAACCAATTCCGTTCATTTTGGGATGACAGCCCAAGAAACGAACTTTGCTAACTTTGGACATTGTGAGTTCTAGAGGGACGCTGGCCTCCATCCAACTTTGTCTCGTTCCGCCCCATGTGGGTCCAGCCTCCTCTCTGCCCCTGAAGCAGGCACGTGGCCTTTGAAGGTTCCCAAAGAGAAGCGCTCGCCTTTGACCAGAGCCAGGACCCCCTGCCCTAGGAGCTCTCCTCGAGCAAGGGCGCCCTCTGTGGGCTTCGGGTGGCTGCTCAGCCCTTCCAGACTCCTGGGTCGGAGATCTATGTCCCCACTCCCGTGTGAGGCACTTTCGGAGGATCGGGAAAGCCTATTCTCCAGTCCGGCCCTTCATCCTAAAGACGGTTGTGGGAGACGGGCCAGGAACCGCGTTTCCGTCCTTCTGTCATCTTGTTAAGCGCCGATGTGTGCGCTAGCACCGAGAACCACTGCGCGCAGCTTCACGCTCCGGGGGCCCCACCTTGCCCCGCGCCCGCCCAGCCGGTGGGGCGGCCCCACGCTGGACACTGACCCCCCCGCGAGGCTTGGTTCCCGCGGCCCCGGGCCGGCGCTCCGCCAGGGCCGGGGAAGGCGCGCAGGGCCACGTGCGCGGGGGACCGGATCGGGGGCGGGGTCTCGGAGGAGCGCGCCCGCCTGGGACAGAGCTCCTCCCTGCGATCTGGCGCATCCCCGGGCTGTTCCTCCCGCGGCCGCTCCCTCCGTCCAGGACTCACCGCGGCGTCGCTGGGACTTCGACTATCAGGACCTCTCGGCTCCTCCAGCACCTGCCTCTGAGCGACTGCCCAGTCCGGAACTCTGTGGGCGCCCATAGCAACGGGACACACGGTGCCGTTGCTACGCGGAACTGACGTATCCCGGGGCGCGCACGCGCCAGCCCATCAATTTTGTCCCTGATCAGCCCCCGGAATCAGGCTCCTCGCCCCGCCCCGCCCTCAGACCCGGCTCGGGCAATCGCCGCGCCGATGCTGATGACGTAGCTGTCCTCCGGGCCAGTACGAGGGCAGCGACGCGTGGCCCTCGCGCTCTTCCGTCGCCCGGGAGGAAGGGGCGTGGGTCGCGCCTGCGCAGTGGTTCTGACCGCCGGCTGGCGGCGCGTGGAGGCTTCTCCGAGCCGCGGGCGTCTGCTCGGCCGCAGGTCCCGGCTGCTGTGGCGGCGCGCGGCGCTCAGGGGCCATGTCGTGGCTCTTCGGCATCAAAGGCCCCAAGGGCGAAGGCGCGGGGCCGCCGCTGTCCCTGCCTCCCGCGCAGCCTGGGGCCGAGGGTGGCGGGGACCGCGGCGCGGGGGACCGGCCGGCGCCCAAGGACAAATGGAGCAACTTCGACCCGACGGGCCTGGAGCGCGCGGCCAAGGCGGCGCGCGAGCTGGAGCACTCGCGTGAGTGTGGCGGCGCCGGCGGGGCGGGGCAGGGGCTTCTCTGCGCAGAGCCGGTCCGCGGGTGCCTGGGCTTGCGCGCGCATCGGGTCTGTAGCCCCTCTGTCGTCCGAGCGGTCAGGCGGCACATGGCTGTCGGCAGTCCCGCTGGTCAGTGAGGAGACAGGCCTCCAGGAGTGAACCTGCCAAAGCGACCTTGCGTCTGGGGAGGTTCGGGCTTCCGTTACCTTATCCGACCTTCCCAGCTGCCCCGCGTTCCTCAGGTGGGGAAACCGGTGCAGAGGGGACTTTCAGAGGTTACACGTAGCAGGTGCCGGCCCTTGTCTTCGGTGTCTCAGAGTGCCGGAGCTCCTTCCGTTTCTTGCTACCTCCACGTGGAACGGCCACAGCGTGGCTAGGTGCGGCGAGGTAGGGAAGCGGGTCCGTTTGTAGGTGGTTGCTAGCAGTTTTTCACTTAAGGAGGGAAGCACGTTTGAGGGTTATTGGTTTTAAGCAAAATATAGCAGCTTTGCATGTGTTATTGGAAAACGCTGGCGTTCAGGTAGGCGAGTCTGTAAACCAGGAGGTCAGACAGCCCTGGCCTAGCCTGATGACTTTCCTGACCCAGGGCCCTCAAGGCATCAGCAGTGGCTGGACTTTTACGAAGCCCGTGTTTTTCGTCCTGTCTTGTCTTCTATGGCCTTAACAATTTGTCTGAAAACGTAGTTTGTATTTAAGAGGCTGGAATGTAGAAGGTGGTGAGTAAAGACTGATTGAAAGAATACAACAGCTCTTAAGCTTTTATTTAAACAGAAGTGCCGTTTTCTCAAAGGAGATCCTACAGAGAAACGTTGTAAACAGGTATAAGCAGAGTCTTTCTCATTAAGGAAGGAGAGGCTGGGCACTTGGTGGCTCAATCCCTGCCCTTCCCTTGGGGGCTAAGGAGCATCCTGGGTGAAGGCCTCTGGGCCTGCGTGGCTCTCAGATGCCCAGGGGACATTCAAAACGTTTAGATATTTGGGTCTGGGCCCAGAACAGCCTGCTTCCTTAGGCCTGGCTGGAACCACCCCCCCTGACTCTGTATTAAGTTTTGTAGATAATCTTAATTTAAAAAAAATTTTTTTTTTTTTGAGGAAGACTAGCCCTGAGTTAACTGCTGCCAATCCTCTTTTTTGCTGAGGAAGACTGACCGTGAGCTAACATCCATGCCCATATTCCTCTACTGTATACGTGGGGTGCCTACCACAGCATGGTGTGCCAAGCGGTGCCATGTCTGCATCTGGGATCCGAACAGGAGAACCCCGGGCCACCCAAGCGGAACATGGGCGCTTAACCACCTCCCCAGTGGGCCGGCCCCTAGATAATCTTAATCGTCAGGTTGGGCTGAGAAACAGTGGATGGGCTTCAAGGCACCTCACATGATGGTAGGTTTTTGACACATGGTGTGACTTCTTGTTAAAGGTTTCATCAGCAGACACCTCTCTACCCCAGCACCTGTGGGACTTCAGCCTCTCGCCATGCTCAGAATTTCAATGTTTTCCTGCTTTTGGAAGCTGAACCCTCACTGTTGGCCCCCCAGCCCCATGCAGTTGTACAGCCTGGGTGAATAGCCTTGGGTATGTCTGAGAGGAGCAGCTCCTCCTTCCTGGCTACTTGTGCCTCTGAATTGCTCCCAGGTCTCTTGTATGGGCCGCCCAGAGCTCCTGCTCTGGAACATTCTCCACCTGGGTCCCCAGGGCTCTGGCCTCTGCTCTCCTATGACCAAGCCCTCATTTCCCCACCAAGTAGCATCTCTTGCAGAGTCCCCAGAGGCCACTGCCTGGAGTTATAGTCCCCTCATCAGTCCTCCCATTAGTCTCCACATCCGATGACTCTGTCCCAGGTGTGGACTCTACTTCATTTTTGTCCCTGCCGTCCTTCCTGGCCTTGCTGCTGGCCAGTGGGAGAGGCGTTGCCCTCGTGTGCCACCCCTTCCTAGCCTCACACCCTTCTTCCCAGGGTACCTCGTGCCCCTCTGCCCGATAGCCCCTCTGTAAGTCTGTCTTCTCCGGATGCTGCAGCTCACAGGCAGCAGTGCCTGCCAAGGCTGGTCTGAGCCTGCTCTTGTTCGACCTCCCTGCTCTCTCCAGGCCGTCCAGAGATGGCCTCAGCTGCTTCCCACAGTGTGACCACCTTCTATCCTTCAAGGCCCAGCCTGATGCTGCCTTGTCTCCTGGGCCCTCCTGGGAGGCCAGAGCAGGACATTTGGCCTTGAGCAGTCTGTGTGCCCCAGTCCACTTGCCTGTACACTCCAGGAAGGCAGGTGCCTAAAAGAGCACCTTGCCTGTAACAGGTGCTAATTAATGCTTTGGAAGCATGTTTCCTGGTACAGGATGATTTCAAGGTGAAGAGTTACTGTTGCTGGTGTTGAAATCCTAGCTTGTGATTAGTGGGCATGTGGTGCCAGGCCTCATGCTGAGCAGTTTACCTGCTTGCTCTCATTTCACTCCTCCAAGAGTCAGGGAGAGAGAGAACCCCGCTCCATTTCAGGTGAGGCACTCAGAGAGTTTAACCTGCCTTGCCAAAGGTCACGTTGTGAATAAACAGCACAGCTGGGATTCAGTCCCAGTGTTGTTGGCCTGTGACACCTGTGTTCCTATCTGTTGTGATCTCCGCTTCCACTCAGTCTGAGTGAGCTGTTACAGGGGCTCCCCGGGTCTGCTCAGCCCTTGACCTCATGGCTTTCCAAGCTCACCAATGAAGGGGGTGGGACTCTGGTGCCTTCCTTATGCCATCTGTGCCTCCGATCACCAGAGACCCAGGGGAGAGCTTTGCAGTAGGGCTCTAGGAGACCGCAGCAGCCCCATCCTGACCAGCTCTGAGGGCCCTTCCCAAGCTTTGATGCTGTGTTCATGCCAGACCGCATACCCCAGCAGACCATCCAAACACAGAGCTCCTGCCACTCTTGTCTGAAGGTGTGGGTTGTGCTTAGAGCAGCAGTTTAACTCCGAAAAGAAAAACCCAGAACTATAATCAGATGTGATGCTCTAGGTAACGATGTTTGCTCCATTTTGGGGGTGACGGGTACTAGGGTCTGCAGCTGACTTTGAAGGCTTCAAAAAGTAAGATGGGTCATGGAGGATAGAAGGATGGACGTGTGGGAAGCAAAGGGAGCCAGCTAGGGCCATTGCAGAGTCAGGACAGTGGCTCACGGCCTGCCTTCCTCCCGCACGCTCACCTGTTAGAAGACTTCTCTGGTGAATAGTGTGCACGGGAGAACCATGTCATCAGACAGACATTTGAGAGACCTGATGCGTAGGCTTCAGGAGAGTACCAGAAGTCCCAAACACAGACAGATATGGATCCTGCCTTATGAGCAGAATACACGTAGAAGATGTTTATGGCACACGCTCTGTGAAGAGCCGTCACCCTGCACGCTTTGGCTTCCTTCTGATTTAATTCCCATTTACTTTTTTTTTCTTTTTGAGGAAGATTAGCCCTGAGCTAACGTTTGCCGCCAATCCTCCTCTTTTTGCTGAGGAAGACTGGCCCTGAGCTAACATCTGTGCCCATCTTCCTCTATTTTATATGTGGGACGCCTGCCACAGCATGGCTTGCCAAGCGGTGCCATGTCTACACCCAGGATCCGAACCAGTGAACCCTGGGCCACCAAAGCGGAACGTGCAAGCTTAACTGCTGCGTCCCTGGGCTGGCCCCCCCATTTACTTCTTAAGCTTGGTAGTAGATCAATGATGACTTAAGAATTAATTAAGACTTAAGAGAACGTACGTGCATGGAAAATAAAGGACATTCTGGCCACGGGCTTGCTTCTTGTTTAGTTGGGAAACAGCTGCCATGTTGGCCCTCCTCTCGAGGGGCATGGGCCACCCTTCTGTTGGGGATAGAGCAGACAAAGGTGAGGAGAAGGGAGCCTTTGGAGAGAGGGGTCACCGAGCAGGGTCTGACCTGGAATGAGGGTGGGCACATGCACTTTGAGGTTGAGGGGAGCCGTGGTCTCCCTGACAGCCCCTTGGCTTGAGCGCATGAACGAGGCCCTGTGCCTGCTGCCCTGACACCGCCCTCCCGTCTTCTGCAGGACATGCCAAGGAGGCACTGAGTCTCGCACAGATGCAGGAGCAGACATTACAGCTGGAGCAGCAGTCCAAGCTCAAAGTGAGTGGAGGGTGGGATGCTCGCCGGGGTGGTCTGCGTCCCCTTGGCCACAGAAGGGTCCTGGGATGAGAAGTGCCTGAGAGCCGCGGCTGCGCGGACGCCTCCATCCCGCGTTTGCTTTCTAGCTCCTGGTTTGCAGGGAAGCAGGGAGCGGTCAGAGACAGGCGCTGGCGTGTGGCCCCAGTTTCCCCAGCAGAACCACCTGGAAGGGCGGGCGTGGGTGAGGATGGGCTGGTCTCCCTGGGCGGGTTCTCCCCTGGTTTCTTATACTCTCATAGCGAGCCTAGAAAAGGCCTGTGCTCTGCACTCAATCCTTGGCTGTCATAAAACCTAGTCAAAAAGTGAGCACCTGACATAAGCCACTTTGGAAACAGTGTCAGAGAGGGGAGTGACAGGCCCCCTAGGAGATTGTCTCATCCTCTGGAGTCCAACCCTGT